TACAAGAGAAAAGCCTAACGAAAATGGTTAAGAGAAACATTTAGCACGGACCTGACTAAAGAGCATTGAAGTCTAGTTTCAAAATGTTGTGACGCTTCGAAAGGGCTCTATAATGTGAATATTGAGTGTTGTTGTCATAGCATCAGGAGCATTCTTTAGTCTGTCAATTGTGACTGTGGATGACTATAATTGTGACCTGTCAAGTTTTGGGAGGTGGTCCAAAGTGCTGAGGCAGATGCACTGCACTGAACTGTCTCATTATCAAATTACCCATCTCCCCAGACGACCTCATGTCTACTTACACACATTATCCTCTCAGTGTACTCTTAAAGGAATAGCATCTATGGGAGTGTAGTAGGTATTTTCCAATTTTTCTGATAAAAATATTACCAAGTGGCTTTTGGATTTAATTTATAAATTGAAATACAGGATGTAGTTGTTCTCCTGGGAGAATAAGATTCAAAATGAGGTATAACAGACCATGAAATGGGAGCTTTGGTTAAGTTACAAGGCTTCATTGGGATAATATATAATACTGTAATAATATATAATCAGCATATCAATAATTCATAATGAGATACTGTTTGCCCGAATGATCAAAAGGGTGGGAATTATTGTGTTTTGGGTTTATTGTTTAGTTCCTGAGAAGATTATCTTTAAAATGACATCTCTCAGAGGACTTCACCTGTATGTATAGATTTTATCACCCTATAGTCTATTGAGCTTCAGGCATTTTTTACTCTATGTCCCTCTGGATAAAAAAGATGGGACAACCCTGGTCTAGACAAACAAGTGATTTTCCACTTGTTTGAGCGTCTATTGTCCATCTGAGCCGTCCCTTCTGACACTGACAGGCTTTCTGCTCCTCTCCAGGTGAAAAAAGACCATTAAAATCACACAGATCTGGTTCCACACTACAGTGGCAGCTTTCTTTTACAACTCCAAACTTTTGTAGCATTAAAAACAGGAAGAAGTTTTCCGTTAGGATTTAAAAGAATAAAGCGAGTGAATAGAAAGTTCATTCAGATCTGGATCGGTCCCTCTCACACTTATATCAGCGCTTCTGAGACTCCAGGTGTATTGACTTTTCTTACAGGCCAAACCACAATTAAGCGTGGGCGATGTGCCAAAAGAGAAAATCTTCATCACAACTTTCCTTGAGCCATGCTACTGCACATTAATGTGTAACTAAAGTTTCTGATTCACTGGAAGGTAACACATTATCTCACAGAGATTGATTACACACATTATCTTGGCCAGTAACGTTGATAATGATGAGACCCAAGGGCGTAGGTTTGCGTGGGGACCATGGGGACATGTCCCCACCAATATATGGTGAGGACTAAAAAGTCCCCACCAAAATGACATGATGTCCCGTGACCCGGACGGTCCGGGACACATGTCTTCCGTTTGTGCACACGTCGCGCCTCCTCCTCGCCTCCAGAGCAACAGCAGCAGCAGCAGCACGTGACCCGTTCCGTTCTCTGCAGTGATTGGCTGTCTTCTTCAGCGCCAAACTGAAGCACTGAGCAACTGTTTAATTTTTTTAAGTTAGCCAGCGTGAAGCAAGTGTTTTTTTTCGTTCCCTGAGCGTTGTAGCACGTGAGTAATCAGAGGAAAGTACTGTAGATCTATTACCATTCAAAGTACTTACGTTATTTCTAATCTGTCAGCGCACTGTTTAATGTTCCGAGGAGCTCACACGGCACAGAGACAGAACAGAACTGGCTCCAATAAAGAAACAGGTTGGTTGAAAGGCTGAAAAAATACTTATTGTGCTCTTACTATCCGAAATGTATAAGTGGGTGTGTTGTGTGAATCAGGATAAACTAGGGATGAAAATATTCCACGGATCCACGATTTACAACCTTTATCTGCTGATAATGTAATTTCTGTGAAATGTGTGACAGCGGGCACTTGCTGTTATTTGCTCTAAGCACATTCAAGCAATGCACTCGAATGTGCACGTTCTGGTGCAGCTGCTGCCGCTTTGTAATGACAGCCGCGGCGCTCAGTGAAAGCACAGCTCTAACATGGTACCGAGCTCGGACCATATGCAGACAGAACCATGTTGCAAGTGCGGGTCTCCCTCGTATCTCCCCCGTTTCTCCCCTGTGTCTCTGACATGTCTCTCCCCTGACTCTTCCCAAAGCGCAACCAGCGCTCCCGAAATTAAAGCTCGGATACGTAAATTTTCCATTGCGTTAACGATGCATGCTGGTTGTGCGCAAAACACACCACAACAGGTCATTTAAGTTTTTATTTTGCATACTTGAGAGCCCTGTGAGTCATTACTTGCCTTTTTGGGTTGAGAGTGGAATAAAAAAAAGAAAATATAGAAAAATCCACACTGTTACTTATTGCCAAACTCTTGTTAACTCATTGTATTGAGAAATACTATGTAACTTTTGACATTGGCCAAGTTATATAAATGATTCTGCAGTTCATGTATATGAATGTCTGTTTTTGATTGTCTATACCTTCTTATATAATTTAGAAAAAATGCCACCTCCACAAATAAGATAAAAGATATCAGGAGCTTTTTTAACAGTTGGAAAGTAAGTAAGAGAAAGCACAAGTAATAGCAAATTATGAATTGTGATGATTAATCTTCTGTTAACATACATAACTGCTTCTCATTCAGTCTACAGCTGAGTTTAGTATAGAAGGCAACACACTATTGCAAATATAGTGTGTGATTACACAACAAATTCTGGGGGAGAAACTCTGGACCCCGTGTCAATGGGTGTAGACTCAGGTCGTAGTGAATGTCCCCACCAAGATTGGAACCAAACCTACACCATTGATGAGACCACTTTGTCATTTCATGATTTAGAATGTGAAACACAAAAGTCAGTAGAATATAGAGTATATGGTGAAACATGGTATCAGGAGAAAATATAATTGTCTCCTGTTTACGATTCTTTTCATTAATGGTCCTTTCTCAACTTATTATCTAGTTTTGATAGTAGTTTTAGTAATGATTAACCTCTCATTTTTAATGTTTATGGCAAATCACTCATTCAATCAAATGTATTCATTTCAATTCAATGTATTCTTGTATAGCCCTAAATCACAACAGCAGTCATCACAAAACCATTGAAATCACCAACACAGATCATGAGAATCAACACAACAGAAAAATATAGAACACATATGTATTGGTCCATAGGGAGAGACCAATGTCCATGAATGTTGATAAATAATAATAACAATAAAAAATTGTCCATACATGAAGAATATTAAAGTGTCCTGGATCATCCCCACAGTCCTTGTTAGACACTAACTGTCCAACAGACCCACCTGCATCGGCAAGAAAAAACTCTAAACCCAGTGGGAGAAAAGTGAGAAACCTCGGGGAGACCCACATTGAGAGAGGGATCCACTCCGACACGGACGGACGGGCTAATGATCCAGGACCTAAGCTACAGAACGTGAAACTAGGCCACGCAGCGGTTGTAGAACGTGGACAGGTCTGGTGCAAGACTGAAGCACTCCCAGGCGGGTCGGGCAGGGCAGTCCGCAGGTGTAGATGGAGGAGACCAAGTTCAGAGGTCCCGTCGTCGCGCCATGAAACAGACAATGGGACAACGGGTGACTAGTAATGAAGAGACTACAGTCAAAATCCTAATAATTCTAAACAGATAAAGTAGGAAGGAGGAGAGGATAGTGCTCAAGTTACCATACTTCTCCCAGCAAACTGACTCCCTATGCAGCTTGACTGACAGTCTGAGGAGTTTAGCCTTCCTTGAGTCTTACCTTCCTAGCCATATGCTAAACTAAAGAGGACTGTTTTAAACCTAGCCTTGAATGTAGAGACCGTATCTGCTTCCTTAACATGGATGGGAAGCTGAGTCCACAGTAAAGGAGCTTCGTAGCTAAATGCTCTGCCGCCGACGGTGCTTTTTGAGACTTTAGAAACCACGTCTGGCGTTTTGCAAGCGCAGTGCTCGGTTTGGTATTGGTATATACTGTAGAACAATCTGTACAGAAGCAATTCAAAAAGCGTTACATTTTGAATTCAACAAAACAAAATAACGTTTAAAACACCATACTTACTAATACTAATAGTAATCACACAATTATATTATTCTATAAAAATGGGCAATAAAATCAGCCATGAGCTCAGGGAAAGAAACATGTTTTCAACCTGGATTTGAACAAGCTGAAGCGGTATGCATCATGTTTGAAATATCTTTTTATGAATTCATTTTCCCATTTCCTCTTCAGATGAACAGTGTCCCTCTTAAGGGCAAAGCATCATGGGAGGAAGTTATGTGGCTATGTTTGTGCTAGTTTGGCATATTTTGAGTAAACAGAGTGATGTTAATGAAAAGCAGGGCGGGTCTGTTTGTGCACATGTGTGTGTGTGCGTGGGTGTGTGCGTGTGGGTGTCTGTTTGTGTGTGAACAGTGAGCGCTCTGTGATGGAGGTGCTGCCCCTGGGGGACAGTCCTGGCACTGCATTGCCCTTTACAAACATGCTCACACAGACACTGCCTGCTATAGTACTCTTCAGTACTCCCCTCTCCATTTTAGCAGAAGTAGAGCTAGAAATTATTTTTTCAGAGGAGTTTATATTGCGATTGATTTTTAAATAATTGCTCCTCAAGAAAGCCGGTTTTAAATGTTCGACAAAGACACATTGACTTTGTATGACTACAAGAGCAAGTTTAATGCAACATTATTGGTCATTACCAAAAATCCCATCACATCACATGAACCAGAGTTAGAGCCATTTCATTAAAAAACAAATGTTGATCAAAATGTTTTGGAACTTTATATTTTTTCCCTGAAATCTGTTTATATACAGTATGTTATTTTTTGTTCCTGGAAAATATTGAAAGCTACAGTATCAAAACTGTATCGGACATAAATCTGGAGCATCTTTAATATTTTCTGTTGTCAAGTAAAAACTGCATAGACCGTGATTGGTCGGTCTGTTCTTCATATCACTGTGATTGTTGGTATGAATATGTTTTTGTATGTTGTGTCTTGCAGGATCCGTCCTCAGCTGGCCAAAGAGAAGATTGAGGGCTGTCACATCTGCACGTATGTGATGCCCGGGGAGCCGCAGGTGTTTCTGGGCAAAGACAAGGCCTTCACATACGACCATGTGTTTGATATGGACACGCAGCAGGACTCCATCTACAACCACTGCACCGAGAGCCTGATCGAGGGCTGCCTGGAGGGCTACAACGCCACCATCTTCGCCTATGGGCAGGTCTGATCAGTCTAAAGCTGTTTGAAATAGATAGATAGATAAATAGATACTTCATTGATCGCAGTAGGAGAAATTCAGGTGTCAATCAATGATGAAATGGTACAAAAGCAATGCACTGCTAACAATACAGTATAACTGGAAGATTACCGCTAGTTTCGCATCTAAATGTAGTCCGAGGCGGTCCCGCTCCCGCAGGTCTTTCCAGCCTGGATACGATGTAAGCTAGCGTTACGTATATGTTCACCCGGGCTTGATTTCTTCTTTGATAATTTTTTCGCTTTAGTTCCCTCTTCTTTTTCTCACTGTCGCATCGTTTGGGCTGTTTTGCTGTGTCTGCAGTTACAGCCAGAGGAGTTCTAGCCACTTTCTCCCTCCACGCTGCTGTGTTTACCTGCACTGAAGACACTAGTGGAGGCGCGGCCTGTTCGTAACACACCGCGTTCTGTGATTGGAGGAGAGCTAGTTTCTACTCAGCACTTTTTACAGCCTGAATTCATACACAAGCTGAATCAATGATCTCAAGTTTTCAATTAAATTATGGATTTTAAAACAACGTGTTTATAGTAATACACATTTTTATGAAGTCATTAGAGAATAATGCGGGTAGAGCTTCTTTAAAGACATCCTTTATTTGCCCCACACTGAGGAAATGTCAGTGTTGCATCACTGGTCACAAAATAGAAGGAATGAGGAGCATGCACAACACAAGAGAATAACTCTATACCAAATTAAAATAAAATAAATTATCTTACTTAGCATAAGCTTCTTTCTAAAGTCTATAATATTAAAAAAATAATCATGTGTGTTTTCACTTCCCAAAAAAAATTAAATAAATGTTTTCTGTGGTGGTGAAGTAACAAAACGTGGAGAACTTAAATTGTATATATTTATTGTTCCATGTACGTATATTGTGTGTGCTACTTGTGTGCTCTTACTTAAGTCACTGTATCTAAAAAAATAATAACACTTGCTCTTATCTTATTATTGATCTCTGCCAAAATGTTATCTAAGCACGGAGTGGTTTCCAATTACTTAGCGTGACCTATTTCCTTATCAAAATAATTGCACATTTATTCGACTGTTAATCTTGCTGCTTCAAGTTTGAGGAGATTTATGACAGAGATAAGGATTGATGAAGTTACTCAAATATATTAGATGGATGATAGAACCGTGCGGCCTGGATCTGTCAGCTCACATGCCCAGGCCTGCACACTGCCCTGGTTACTCACGTCTGATGGACTCTCACAAGGGAGTTTTACAGCAGCTAATGAGTTGCTTCACTTCTTACTAAGCGCACAACGTTTTCCCGATTCTATATGCAACGTGATGAAGGACAGCCTTGGCGCAGGAAGGGAAAAGCATTAAAATGTCAATGGGTTTGATTACACCGTACAGTTACGGTGTAATGGTGAGCAACATGAGTTTGCACACACACACAGAGCCTCTTGATTTGTTGTATATGAACCGTCTCTGTTGGCATGAACTTGGCTAAGCAGCTTGAAAACTATTATCCTTGTTATATGTCCTTGAGCAAAGCACTTCACGCCCTTAGGCTGTGTGTACAAAGGATGTGTGTGAGTTAGGGCTGTAACAAGTTTAACAAGTTTAAAAAGAGCTCCCTATACCACCAAAGTTGATTTTCTTTTCTTTTTTTTTCTGCTGCAAACACGGGCATGTGATTTTAAAGGATGTGATATCACCTGAGAAATTTCCCAAATTACTTTTTGTTGGGTAGAAGGCAGAAAACTTCTTCGAGTGTGATGTCAGAGAGGTACAATACAATTACATAACAATTTATTCTTCCATCCATCCATCCATCCATTTTCTTCCCCTTAATCCATTTCTCACTTAGCACCAGCCCCTCACTGATCCTCCTGCATGTGGTGAGTCCACAGGGGCCTTGATTATTAAGCAGGGGCTTCAGGCACCGTGGGGTTAAGTGTATTGCCCAAGTTTGTGTAAGCCCTCAGTCGTACAGGGATTAGTCAAAGCAAAGGAAGGTTTCTCACCCATCATCTGTACTTCTTAGCAAGTTTTCCCGACGTTTCGTCCTCAACCTGGGGACTTCTTCAGGGAATGAATTTTCAGACCGCGCGTTGGAGATTTATAACCTATGGGTGTGGTTAGCCACACCCTAATCCTGATACTAACTCGTAAACAATCTACGGTCTGCTTGATGTAGAAGGGAGCAGGTCTAACGACCCTGCTGAGGCTAACGACCCTAACTCCTTAGCATGTCACAGACCTATTGTCTGCTGGGATGCTCAAGTGGAGTGCAGGTCTCACCCCTCCTAACTCATTAGCATGTCACTGACCTTGTCCCAAGTTAGGACGTTGTTTTTAGGATGTCGTCATAGATACGAGGCAAAACAAATCTTAACCCTCCTCCTCTGTTAAGAGAAGGTTTTTGTTTCCTCACAAAAATGGCTTCTTTCACCCCTCTCTCAAACCAATTCTTCTCCCGAGCCAGAATTTTAACCTCTGTGTCATCCACCATGTGGTTGGAGGCCTTGAGGTGGAGATGAACAGCCGACTGTGGCCCACTAGAGTTTTCTCTACGATGTTGGTAAAGTCGTTTCTGTAGAGTTTGTTTGGTTTCACCAATATAGTGGTCAGTGCACTCCTCTTCACTACATTTAATTGAATACACCACATTGCTCTGTTTGTGTCTGGGTGTTTTGTCTTTGGGATGCACTAATTTCTGTCTTAACGTGTTGAAAGGTTTGAAATACACAGGGATTTTGTGTTGCCTAAAGATTCTTTGTAGTTTCTCTGAAACTCCCGCCACATACGGTAAGGACACCCCTCTCCTCCTACTTTCTTCTGTCTGTAGGACTGTGTCTCTGGCCTTTCTCGTCCTTTAGGCTTTAGTAAAAGACCACTTGGGGTAGCCACATCTGGAAAGATCTGTTCAGAGAGCACTTTCCAGATGTGGCTACCCCAAGTGGTCTTTTACTAAAGCCCAAAGGACGAGAAAGGCCAGAGACACAGTCCTACAGACAGAAGAAAGTATATACACGCACAGGGCCATTCTCTGATGTTGTGTGACACACGGAGGAGAGGAGGAGACACGCTGAAATGCAACCAAACTCGCAAAATTAAAGCTGGGGTACCTACATTTTCCCTTTCATTAACAGCTCTTGTTGGTTGTACCCAAAAGTAGAAGGTTGTGAGCAAATCAAACAGATTGAAGTACATTTGGTCTGAATAACAATGTGTCATTGCATTTGAAAATCTCATTTAACTTCAATTGGAGTGGATTTGAAATAGAATGTTAAAAATGCGATTAATCGTGAGTTAACTCACCATTACTATGCGATTAATCAACTAAAAAAAATTAATCGTTTGACAGCCCTAATATATATATTATATATATATATATATATATATATATATATATATATATATATATATATATATATATATATATATTATACAATTACTAATTGCTTTGTTTTCATTGTGCTGAGGAAATACCTACCTTTATATTGCTTAGAAAATGTATTTAAAATGAGCTCAGACAAAACATTCTTGAGTATTAAGTTGCAAACCATCATTGGGTATTGACTTCCATTCATGAGTTGTCCACAATCTTGGAAAGGGTTTGTGGGCCGAGCGTGAATACAAGCACCTGGAGGAAACCTACTCAGACCATTTTCAGTGGACGAATCCTCTGAATTGGTTGAACTATTCTCCTCCAACAAATCTAATCTGGAGATGGTTATGCTTTTATTTTATTTTTTATATACAATATTTGTTTATTTGCTTAAAAGTAATATAGTAAATTGTCATTAAGTCTATAAAAGGTATTCTTTAAACAATGAAATACATCACCTTTACCTCTGCCACCCCTTGCCATGTCCTCTTTGATAAAGTACACACACACACACACACACACACACACACACACACACGTTCTGACCTCTTTCAGAACGTCCAGTGGGAGCTCAGGCGGAGGGTGAATTTGAACCCACACTTGCATTCCTGTGTTGACTGCCATGGAGACCACATAGTCCCAGGCCAGAGAGGGGAGGGGCCAGAGGGGGGTCTGGTCCATTAGTGCAGACTCTAAGCTCTGCAACGTGTAGAGCAAGTGTAAAAGCCTCGGTCCACAGCCACCCAGGGAAACAGCTTCCAATGAACTTACAAAGTACATATCATCTCAGTTATAACTAAAAACATGGGTTAGTTTTAGGAACTATTACAAAATGATACAGGTGACAAAAATAACAATAAAAGCGTTTATTACTGAGCTGATCCTTGCTTGCACCTCACAGTCCTAAAAGTGACTTACAGGACCCAGACATATATTCCATTAAACTTCTAATAGGCATTTAATTTGGTTGTTTGGCTGACATCTCTTTGAAAACTATAACGTTTGCGTCAAAGCACACAAAAGGCAAATAGCATTGTGTACATATTTTTTTTTTTTTTAAAGGTCTCTTTAAAGTTTGGTCACACATTTTGGCACAAATAAAAAAAAAAAATCTGATGGTCAAAAGTCATGTTCAAAGCGATGTAAAAGTAAACCATAAAAAGTATTTATGGCATGTCATGGTTTAAAGCTGCACTAACTGACTTTATTTTTGTATTCATTACGAAAATGCTATCCATGTCCGTGTAGTGCATTGGGATATACGTCCTTTTGAAGAAAAAGTAGCGCAGATTTGTGCTGGCGTGACATTATATTTTAGATCGAGTTTTGATGAAACAAGGAAGAGAATGTGTTTCGGGTCGCAGATTGTGACCAATCACAGCGGACCACTAGCCCCCACTTTCGTAAGAAATCTACAGGTCCGTTAGCATAGACGGCTGAGTTAGCACAACAAGCCGAGGAGCTAACCTGAAGCTTCCTCGTCTTCGTCACCGGTTACTGCTTACACAGCGAGACAGCCATCCAAAAGAAAGTCTCGTTCCTCCGCGCTTCCCGGCTCTATCGTTCTATGGTCACGGCATCCACGTGCAAATCCATATCCATGGTTTATCCATATTGGAAGACGCTAGCTTCGTCAACAACACTGTGTGTGTGTGGGGGGCGATAGCTTCGTGGGTGCGGGGAGGGGAGCAGAAAGAGCGAGGCCAGCGAGTCCGCGGCTTCAAAATCCCAAAGTCAGTTAGTGCAGCTTTAAGTATAAATCATGATCTTGCATTTTCATTTTTCATTCCTAAATCTGGGCAGAAATGGCTGTAGTGTGCTTTTTTTTTTACAAAGCTTTTTATGGACATATGTATCTACAACTTCATTCACTTAATTTAATAGCTGTAAATAGGAGTTGGAAAAATATAAACATTTAAAAAATAACAAACAAAAATACTGATTGTGTGTACTGACATAATTGCACGTCACACCCAGTGTTCTGGCCGACTGACTGTGATATAATCTGTCTTAACTTCACACAATGCGGTGTTCAGACTCTCTCACCAAGGAGCAGGTCATTAGAAGTGCTGAAGTGTGACTGAGCTCGCGCTTTGACCCCTGAGGTCTTTACTCTGCGCTGGGCGTATCAGTGACACTAATGATCAAACCATATGCACCATTCCGTTACCCAAATAAGAATTGGGTTTAAGGGTGGGTATCATCTTACTACTTTTCATCATTTCACATTGTTACTTTTTGAACAGGGATCAGATCAATTCAAACATTAAACAATATGAAGTAATAATTATTATAATGAAATAAAAATGGAAAATAAAAACCCCCACAGCAAGAGGAAGGATTAAAAAAAGAAATATTATATGATCAGTAAACGTGTATGTATTTACTTATTTTCCTCTCTTTATATTATTTATATTTTACCATTTTAAATTTAGTACATCATTTGTAATTTAAATGTTTAGATAATCCTAATTCAGAGATAAATTTAAGATTTAAATAATACTTTTTTTGTTTGCAATTTGATAAACCACTGCAGAATTACTTATAAAGGAGAATTTGTAATTTTCATCATTCATTTTTTTACAGGAGTTGACTTAGTGATTGTGAGTCGGGGGTTAATCTTTGTCCATGAGCTCATCCTTATTGGGCTTCATTGAGAGAGTGTGTTAGCATTGTCCATCTACAGCAGGGGACTCCAACCTGTAGCTTGGTAGCTAGCAGTAGCTCGCCAGCCCCTTTCAGGTAGCTCCCCAGGATTTAGAATTTAACACATGCTCTTGAATGAATCATTTTGAGTCATTACATATCTATTAAAAGTATAAATATAGGGATGTACAGTATTGTGGTTTATTTTTAATGTCTTTCCATGTTTTGTTGTAATTATTGCATAGATTTTTATTATGACTGCAAAAAGGAGTAGCTCCCTGCCTCTTCTGTTGTGTAAAAGTAGCTCTCCGATTGAAAAAGGTTGGAGACCCCCGATAAGTTGAATCCTAATCGTCCTGCTGAGATTCAAGAATCTCCTTCTCAGGGGGGTCCTGGCTTCAGAGGTGGGAGAGGTTTCTAACTACAGTGCCTTGCGAAAGTATTCGGCCCCCTTGAACCTTTCAACATTTCGCCACATTTCAGGCTTCAAACATAAAGATATAAAATTTAAATTTTTTGTCATGAATCAACAACAAGTGGAACACAATGGTGAAGCGGAACAAAATTTATTGGATAATTTAAACTTTTTTAACAAATAAAAAACTGAAAAGTGGGGCGTGCAATATTATTCGGCCCCTTTACTTTCAGTGCAGCAAACTCAGTCCAGAAGTTCAGTGAGGATCTTTGAATGATCCAACGTTGTCCTAAATGACTGATGATGATAAATAGAATGCACCTGTGTGTAATCAAGTCTCCGTATAAATGCACCTGCTCTTTGATAGTCTCAGGGTTCTGTTTAAAGCGCAGAGAGAACCATGAAGACAAAGGAACACACCAGGCAGGTCCGAGATACTGTTGTGGAGAAGTTTAAAGCCGGATTTGGATACAAAAAGATTTCCCAAGCTTTAAACATTTCAAGGAGCACTGTGCAAGCAATTATATTGAAATGGAAGGAGTATCAGACCACTGCAAATCTACCAAGACCCGGCCGTCCCTCCAAACTTTCATCGCAAACAAGGAGAAGACTGATCAGAGATGCAGCCAAGAGGCCCATGATCACTCTGGATGAACTGCAGATAACTACAGCTGAGGTGGGAGAGTCTGTCCATAGGACAACAATCAGTCGTGCACTGCACAAATCTGGCCTTTATGGAAGAGTGGCAGGAAGAAAGCCATTTCTCAAAGATATCCATAAAAAGTCTCGTTTAAAGTTTGCCACAAGCCACCTGGGAGACACACCAAACATGTGGAAAAAGGTGCTCTGGTCAGATGAAACCAAAATCGAACTTTTTGGCCACAATGCTAAACGATATGTTTGGCGTAAAAGCAACACAGCTCATCACCCTGAACACACCATCCCCACTGTCAAACATGGTGGTGGCAGCATCATGGTTTGGGCCTGCTTTTCTTCAGCAGCGACAGGGAAGATGGCTAAATACGATGGGAAGATGGATGGAGCCAAATACAGGACCATTCTGGAAGAAAACCAGTTGGAGTCTGCAAAAGACCTGAGACTGGGACGGAGATTTATCTTCCAACAGGACAATGATCCAAAACATAAAGCCAAATCTACAATGGAATGGTTCACAAATAGACGTATCCAGGTGTTAGAATGGCCAAGTCAAAGTCCAGACCTGAATCCAATCGAGAATCTGTGGAAAGAGCTGAAGACTGCTGTTCACAAACGCTCTCCATCCAACCTCACTGAGCTCAAGCTGTTTTGCAAGGAAGAATGGGCAAGAATTCCAGTCTCTCGATGTGCAAAACTGATAGAGACATACCCCTTGCAGCAAAAGGTGGCGCTACAAAGTATTAGCGCAAGGGGGCCGAATAATTTTGCACGCCCCACTTTTCAGTTTTTTATTTGTTAAAAAAGTTTAAATTATCCAATAAATTTTGTTCCACTTCACGATTGTGTCCCACTTGTTGATTCTTGACAAAAAATTACATTTTTATATCTTTATGTTTGAAGCCTGAAATGTGGCGAAATGTTGAAAGGTTCAAGGGGGCCGAATACTTTCGCAAGGCACTGTATGTTGAGGCCAATGCTTCCTTTGAACTTCTATCACGTCTTTCTTTCAAACTTTGTATCTTCCAGCTTGTTTTGGGCCTATGCTACTTCTAGTCTGTAATGTGTGTCGCCTAACCTCCAGTTCTCTTCCCTGTGTGCAGACGGGCTCGGGGAAGACCTACACCATGGGCACTGGCTTCGATGTCAATATCAGCGAGGAGGAGCTGGGGATCATTCCTCGGGCCGTCAACCACCTGTTCAGAGGCATAGAGCAGCGCAAACAGCAGGCCAGCGAGCAGGGCCGGCCCGTGCCCGAGTTCAAGATCAATGCACAGTTCCTGGAGGTGTGCACCACTCAGTATTCCCTGTAACACACTGAACGCTAAACAAATAACTATGTAATGTAATTATGTAACTATGTCCTCGCTCTCCGGTTCTGTCACTACTTTTCACATGTATTGTTGGCCTTTGTCGCATCTTTTGATCAGTTTTTTCAGACAGAAAAGTGAGAAAGAGTGCACCACCTTCACTCAATCAGCTCTCTTTTTTTGTCTCTGTTGGGACAAAACCACATTTATTTTTCAAATTGAAAAAGTCAGCTGTAAGTCTCTACTGATCTCACAATTACATTCCCATTCATTAGGATAAAACATCATTATGGAGGTGAGGTTACGCTTCAGGTCTTATGGGTCTCGTATTAAGAAATCTTGAAATAATCTTGAACGCAAACATGTCTTTTACAGTGTCATTTCTTAAATTTGCTCGAATTGACCTGTTTTCTTGTTTTTGACACAAATGTATTATGGCATTCTTTTGAAATCAAACCATTTTATAAAAGGATTTTGGAATACATTTTGATCACCAGATTTTTTTTTTGCAGTGTGCATTTATATTTAGCTTGTAGTGTGCTCAGCTTTCTGATAACCATCCATAACATTCTAATGTAGACTGCAACTATAATACATTATTACAATATGGTTCTATTTATGATTCTAATTTGTAAATAAAGAGAACTAAACAAAATCTGCCAAAAATGCGCTCCCAACCAAAGCAATAGCCTTTTCACAAATGGTAAATCTCTTCATCTTAAGGACTCTTTAGTGTTTCAGCTGTGGTCAGGAGGGCTCCAGGGGTCAGTGCGGTGTGAAGCTGTTCATGTTCACAGATGACCCCAAAGCCATTAAAGTGTCATTATCCTGCGTGTCGCCCAGACATTATTTTTAACAGCAATAAGTGTGCGTCCACAGCTGTCCCCAGCAGCTGAGGGGAACAGACCAGAAAACTAACAAAAGCTTTAATGATGATGCCTCTTCTGTCCAAACATCAACTCCAGCAAAAAACAGTTTTAAAGCTGGGAAACCAAGCTTTATATGTTTGTCCCAACGGGAAGTAAACGTTTTTAAGCATAGAACATGTTATGTTTTGCATACTTATAAGAAAGAGCCATGAGAGCCTCTCTTTTTCACTTTTCGGTCTGAAAAAGTTGATCTAAAGATGTGACAGAGACCAAGAATACATGCAGAACGACGATCTAGATTGAAGGATTTTGTTACATCCATTTCTTTGAAAGTTAGGACCCCATCTCGTTTGCTCACTAAAAGTTATTTTTATAAAAATGTGTGAATGGAAAATGAAAAATGTGATTGGAAAATTGTATAAACAATTAATCCAACTGTAGTCTCCAGCTCTACAAACAGCGTGGCAAAATTAGCATTGAATCTGTTTTTAGATGCATTATTTGTTTTCCACAGCTTTAGAACAAGTTTTTCACACAAAATAGTAAAGTCAGAATAATCACCCTCTTCCATCAGCACTCAGCCCAAAGGGTCATATGTTGATTCATTGGACTCGGTCATAACGTTTGTAAAGATATCATATTTCTAATAAGAAGTTCTGGTCTGATTTGTTCACAGATCAGATTCACATTTTGTGTACCAAAATAACAAAAAAGGTCAATGTGCATAACTATTCACCCCCCTAAAGTCAATACTTTGTAGAGCCACCTTTTGCCTCAATCACAGCTCCAAGTCGCTTTGGATAATCAATCAATCAATCAATCTTTATTTATAGGGCGCTTTTCCTGCACAGGGCAACACAAAGCGCCTCACAGTCCACACCACACAATGCACAAATCATCACCATTAAAATACAATTAAAAACACATATGTAATTAAAAAGCATTAAAATCACATAAGTAATTTAAAAACATAAGAATCACACAAGTAATTAAAAACAATAAAATAGTTAAAAACACAAAAAGTTACAACAATAAATAACAAGGTGTGTTAAAAAGATAAAATTCTCTAGTTGTATGCACAGGAAAAAAGAAAAGTCTTTAACATGGATTTGAACATTGACAGAGAGGCAGCCAGTCTCACATCCTCAGGAAGACCGTTCCAGACTCCAGCTGCATAAATCTGAAAAGCAGCCTCCCCCTGTCTAGTCCTGACTCTGGGCACTAACAAGAGTCCCGTCCCTGCGCTCCTCAGAGTCCGGGCTGGTTCATATGGGACTAGCATATCATGGATGTACTTTGGTGCAAGGCCATGGAGAGACTTGTACACCAGGAGAGCTGCTTTAAAGTCTATCCTCTGGGCCACGGGAAGCCAGTGCAGAGACCTGAGGACCGGACTAATGTGGTCGTACTTCCTGGTTCTAGTCAGGACTCGGGCTGCAGCATTTTGAATATACTGCAGCTGTTTTACTGCATGTTTGGAGATACCTGTGAGCAGGCCATTGCAGTAATCCAGCCTACTGGAAACAAAAGAATGGATGAGAATCTCCAAGTCTGCCCTGGACACAATATTTTTAATTTTGGCAATATTTTTCAGATGATAAAAAGCTGCTGATGTTACCGATCCAATGTGGCTATTGAAGTTTAAGTCAGAGTCCATTATTACTCCCAGATTTCTGACCTTATTTAAAGGCCTTAGGGAGAGAGACTGAAGGTGACAAATGACGGTCTCTCTTTGTTTCTCGGGACCAAAGACAATCATTTCGGTTTTGTCCGCATTTAGCTGGAGAAAATTGCATTGCATCCACTCACTGATCCGCTGGATACAGTGAAGGAGTGAGTCCACCGGTCCATGCTCTCCTGCAGTCAGTGAGACATAGATCTGAGTGTCATCAGCGTAATTGTGGTAGGACACTTTCATACTTTGAATTAACTGACCTAATGGCAGCATGTAAATATTGAACAGGAGAGGTCCCAGAATCGACCCCTGTGGCACTCCGCAGGTCAGGGCCATATTATCTGAGACATAGTCTCCAATCTCCACACAATACTTCCTTTCTTCTAGATAGGACCTAAACCAGCTTAGGGCAGTACCAGCAACACCAACCCAGTCCTCCAGTCTCTGCATGAGAATCTCATGGTCAACGGTGTCGAAAGCGGCACTCAGATCTAACATGACTAAAACAGAGACTTTTCCTGCATCAGTGTTAAGCCGAATATCATTTGTTACCTTGACTAGAGCGGTCTCAGTACTGTGGTGTGGTCTAAAGCCAGACTGAAACATGTCAAATGAGTCATTAGATATTAAAAATTCAGTAAGTTGTTGGTAGGCAACTTTTTCAAGAATTTTTCCCATGAATGGCAGATTTGAGATGGGACGGTAATTTTCAAGTACCGCAGCATCCAAACTGCTCTTTTTTAGGAGGGGCCTGATGACTGCCTTTTTCAGGGCCATTGGAAATGTTCCAGATAAAAAAGACATGTTTACTATTTGTGTCAATGAGGGTAATAGACTACACATAACAGACTTCAGGAATCTAGGAGGTAGTACATCCAGACTGCAGGTAGAGGAACTAAGACCTGTGATTATCTTTTTAACAGTTTCATCATTGACAGGTGCAAATTGAGCTAGCTCACAAAGCCTCACTGGATGTTGCATTGTTACTTGTGTTGTAGAGGTGATGGTATTTCTGATACCCTGAACCTTGTCTCTGAAGAACTGTGCAAACTCATTACACCTGGATTTGGAGTAGTGTTCTAATGGCAACTCAACAGGGGGGTTCGTTAATCTATTGATTGTTGAAAATAGAACACGCAGATTATTGCTGCAGCCTTCAATAGTTTCAGAAAAGTATAATTCTCTTGTTCTACGTAGTACTCTGTTAAACTCACACAACTTATCTTTTAAGAGTTTATAATCACCCTGGAGGTTGGACTTTCTCCACTTTCTCTCTGCTCTCCGGCACTCTTGCTTCTGTGCCCTGACCGGGCCTGCTTTTATCCATGGGGCTTTTTGCTTATTTGTGACCATTTTTACCTTCACAGGGGCAATGGCGTCCAGAACATTCAACACACTAGAGGTGACAGAGTTAAACAGTTCATCTACAGTAGAACATGATGTGTTCTCAAAATGGATCATTCCCATAAATAGTTCACCCGTGTTTTCATTTAAGTGTCTACTTCTAACAATTTCATATTTAGCGGGTGGTCTGGTAGCAAAATACATGTTAAAAAATACACAGAAATGATCCGACAGAGCAACATCAACTACATTAACTTTTGAAATATTCACCCCTTTCGTGATAAGCAGGTCCAGGGTGTGTCCTCTGCTATGGGTGGGGCCACTCACATGCTGAGTGAGGCCAAAGGATTCAAGTATGGAACTCAACTCTTTTGCGTATCTGTCATTAACATTATCCACATGAATATTAAAATCGCCTATAATGACTAAACCATCAAAATCTGTGCACACAACTGAAAGCAACTCAGTGAAATGATCAGTGAAACTATGGCATGACTGTGGCGGCTTGTACACAACAATAATAAGAATGGAAGAAGATTTCTTTTGTTCTATTTTAAAAGAAACATACTCAAATGATGAAAATTTCCCAAGAGACACTCTATGGGAGACAATACGATCTTTAAAAACTGCTGCTATGCCCCCCCCCTTTTATTTTCTCGTGTTTCATATTCAAATTTGAAATTTGGTGGTGAGGCTTCTATTAAAACTGCATCTCCTGTATTATGGTCAAGCCATGTTTCAGTCATAAACATAAAATCAAGATCATACGAACAGATAAAATTATTAATTAAAAATGATTTGTTGCATAGTGATCTGACATTAAGTAGAGCAAGGTTAAAATTAATATCAGTGTCAGTGGGTTTAGTTGATTGATTACAAAGAACTGGAATTAGATTTCCAGAGTTGGACCGTTTAACTGCTGTCCTTCTTTTAAATTTGTGTTTATTCAAGTTAAAACACATTTCTGAGCTGGTGCGAGGAACACACACAGTCTCTATTGGTTTAAAAAGTGAACTCTGTTGTACTTTGTTAAGTTCCAGATGCATAACTGAGTCAGCACAGTTCAGTGGCAGGACTGTCGTTACACTGCCAGACGGACAGGGGTCAGTGTTTGCACCACAGTACTCACCCGGAGCTGGTAAGGAGGAGGAGGGGGGTGGTGGGGGCCGAGAAGCCTCAGATGTAAACAGTCACGCCCCCCTCGGGGAGCACTGAACAACATGGCGTAGGAAGTCCGTCAACAAACTGGTGCCGTATTTGTTCGGGTGCAGACCATCTGGACGATAGGCCACGTGACGCTTCCAGAACAGGCCAAAGTTGTTCACAAAAATAAAGTTAAAAGTGTTGCATGTAGACTGGAGCCACATGTTGAGCGCCACAACGCGACTGTAGAGGCAGTCACCCCGGTTTACAGTCGGGACTGGACCAGAGATAAAAACACACAACCCGAAGGACTGGAGGAGGCGGAACAGATCCATAAAGTGCTTCTTTGTGACCTCGGACTGCTGCAGCTTCATGTCGTTGATCCCCACATGCACGATTACCTTGGATATGGTATCAGGCAGGGAGTGAAGCAGAGGAGGGAGACGGATGAGCAGGTCTGGTACAGTGGCTCCGGGAAAACACTGAGTGACCGCGTTAAAAAAGCGGACGTGCCTCACGATGGAATCTCCAACAATCAAAGTAGTTGGGGCGAAGAGTGGACGCGGCCGCGGAGAGGGCGCTCGGTGTCCATGGCCAGAACCAGCGGGCTCATCCAGGGATGGGTCCGAACCAGGGCGCTGCTGAACACATGGAGAGGAGTGGGGGTGTTGATTCCCAGCTCCGGGCAACCCACGCTGTGTGCACGGAGACGCTGGAGCAGCGAGAGGAGCAGGCTCGGATCGCTGCTGCTGACCCGGTGGAGGTAAGTGGTGGTGATGCACTGGGGTCAGAGAAGGGGAATGATCACTCTTTCGTCTGAGGACAGCTTCCTTTAAGAGTGTCTTTCTCGCAGTGGACCTGGATCCACGGACAGCAGTAGAGTTTGCTGCAGAGTCCAGGGGTTCTGCTGAGGGGGCTGGGATGTCAGCGGAGAGGGCTGCATAGCGGTTTGAAAGGCTCAGGACATGGGCCACGGCGCTGGATGGCTCCTCGCATAAGTCTCTATGAGCTTGCCACATCTTACCACTGGGATGTTTGCCCATTCCTCCTTGCATAACTGCTCCAGCTCCTTCAAGTTGGATGGTTTGCGCTTGTGAACAGCAATCTTTAAGACTGACCACAGATTTTCTATTGGATTGAGGTCTGGGCTTTGACTAGGTCACTCCAACACATTTACATGTTTCCCCTTAAACCACTGAAGTGTTGCTTTAACAGTGTGTTTGGAGTCATTGTCCTGCTGGAAGGTGAACCTCCGTCCTAGCCTCAAATCACGCACAGAGTGGTGCAGGTTTTGCTCAAGAATATCCCTGTATTTAGCACCATCCATCTTTCCCTCAGCTCTGACCAGTTTCCCAGTCCCGGCTTCTGAAAAACATCCCCGCAGCATGATGCTGCCACCACCATGTTTCACTGTGGGGATGGTGTTCTTTGGGTGATGTGATGCGTTGGGTTTGCGCCAGACATAGCGTTTTCCTGGATGGCCGAAAAGTTACATTTTAGTCTCATCAGACCAGAGCACCTTCCTCCATACATTTTGGGAGTCTCCCACATGCCTTTTCGCAAACTCAAAACGTGCCATTTTGTTTTTTGCTGAAAGTAATGGCTTTTTTCTGGCCACTCTGCCATAAAGCCCAACTCTATGGAGCGTACGGCTAAAGCCTAGTGTATACTTGCGCGGCATGGCTTACTTTAGCGGTTGCGGTGGACCTTCGCAAGCACAATTGTGTTAATACTCCTTGCGGAGTTTTGAGGAGAATGTTGTAATCCCACAACCAACCACATGATGGCGATCTCACAGTAGTTGCTTGAGATACCAAAGCGGTCTCATTTACGCTGCTACTTTCTCCTCTTCAGAACAAAAACATGAACAAACCGAGCTGTTTGAGATCATTACATGTGTTTCTACTGTAGGTTTATGTGATAGTTCTATGGAATCATTATTTCTTAACTCATTTAACTGTGATGTTGTGAATAAAGACACAGTTCTTGTTGGAAACATAGTTATTATTAAATTGTATTCAGCATAAACAGCAAAACAATAAAAGTGGTAAATATCTGAGGCAAACATGAACAATTTATAAGTGCAGGAGGAATGGAACAGACGCAATAAGCTACGAGTGCAGATCCAAACAAAGACAGGAACAGTGCAAAAGAAACGACTGCACAGTTTATAAGTTATATCTATGTTAGATATTCAACAGAACTCTAATCCACAGTCTCTGCGTATATCAGGCTCTGTCATGAGCCCAAACTACTTTTCCTTTGTTTCCTTCGAAGCACAAACCTCTCTGCTCCATAGTGCCTCGTCCATGTTCCCTGCAGCCACTCCGTGCTTCCTTCCAAAACACACACACGGACCAATCACAGCGGAGCTTCCTTGCGGCGAGCCTTACGTAGTTAGAACATTTCGAGGGTACGTAAGGACCTTGTGGTGAACAACGCGTTGCGCAAGTGACGTCACCTTCGTAAGCTCCGCGCCGCGCGAGTATACACAAGGCTTTATTGTCGTCCTATGTACAGATACTCCCGTCTCTGCAGTGGAACTCTGCAACTCCTCCGGGGTTACCTTAGGTCTCTGTGCTGCCTCTCTGATTAATGCCCTCCTTGCCCGGTCCGTGAGTTTTGGTGGGCGGCCGTCTCTTGGCAGGTTTGCTGTTGTGCCATGTTCTTTCCATTTGGTTATAATAGATGTGATGGTGCTCCTGGGGATCATCAAAAATTTGGATATTTTTTTATAACCTAACCCTGACTGTACTTCTCAATAACATTGTTCCAGTACTTGTTTGGAGAGTTCTTTGGTCTTCATGGCAGTGTTTGGTTAGTGGTGCCTCTTGCTTAGGTGTTGCAGCCTCTGAGGCCTTTCAAAAATGGTGTGTATATGTACTGACAGATCATGTGACACTTAGACTGCACACAGGTGGACATCATTTCACTATTTATGTGACTTCTGAAGGTAATTGGTTGCACCAGAGATTTTTATGGGCTTCATAACAAAGGGGGTGCATACTTTTGCAAGGCACTGTACATCCTTGCTTGATATTGGTTCTTTAGAACTGTCAAGTTATCGTGAGAAGATGCCCACCACGGCACCAGATGTTCTGACCAACATAATGTGTTGTTTGCAGCTGTACAATGAAGAGGTCCTGGATCTCTTTGACACGACTCGAGACCTGGAGACACGCAAACAGAAATCCAACATCAAGATCCACGAGGATGCGAGCGGAGGCATCTACACCGTGGGATTGACCACACGCTCCGTGACCTCCGCAGCAGAGGTGCACTAACACTCACACAAACACTTGTTTTCACATTAGTGTTAGCGCTGTACAGTAGATCCAGGACTTAGGCTTCAGATCCAGGACTGAGGCTTCAGATCCAGGACTGAGGCTGTAGATCCAGGACTGAGGCTGTAGATCCAGGACTGAGGCTTCAGATCCAGGACTGAGGCTGTAGATCCAGGACTGAGGCTGTAGATCCAGGACTGAGGCTTCAGATCCAGGACTGAGGCTGTAGATCCAGGACTGAGGCTGTAGATCCTGGACTGAGGCTTCAGATCCAGGACTGAGGCTGTAGATCCAGGACTGAGGCTGTAGATCCAGGACTGAGGCTGTAGATCCAGGACTGAGGCTGTAGATCCAGGACTGAAGCTGTAGATCCAGGACTGAGGCTGTAGATCCAGGACTGAGGCTTCAGATCCAGGACTGAGGCTGTAGATCCAGGACTGAGGCTGTAGATCCAGGACTGAGGCTTCAGATCCAGGACTGAGACTATAATTCCAGGACTGAGGCTCCTTTCTCTTGTTCCTTGTTCCTCTCTTGTGTCCCGTCAGATGATACAGTGCCTGAAGTTAGGAGCTCTGTCCAGAACCACGGCGAGCACTCAGATGAACGTCCAGAGCTCCCGGTCACACGCCATCTTCACCATCCACCTGTGCCAAGTGCGCGTCTGCTCCCCTGAAAACAACAACGTAAGCACCACATAAGTTTTTTGGCCATTATTTGGTTCTGGTCCATCTGAAGTTGTTAAAAGGTGCAACTGTTTGGATGGGTTCCTCTACCTAAGCAGGTCAAGAGAATTACTATATCAACTTATCATTCAATAAAGGACAATATATTTTTGAAGTCAAAATGTATTGTCTTAACACGTTCTTTATCAGAATTGAAGCTTTCAGACACTTTTAATTAAATCTTGCTTAAGTCTTCCCTTTTATTTCTTTCCTTTAGATGACAAAAATTAGTTCCAATAGTGGTTTGCTGGGATTCTTCTGCTCTCTAGCACCACATGAATAAAGATTACTGACTTATTGTAATTATGTCAATGGCATAGCATCCTTCAAAAAGTAAATTTGTTTTTCTGTTTGAGCCAAATTTGCAGATGATCATGAACTGTGTTGATTTTGTTTAACAATAGTAATGTGGATAAATGTTATAATATCAATACATGGTTTTCAAACACATACAACTACTAATTTGCATCATGTCTGTTCCATATTTTTCACATTTCAAAAACAGGAGAAAAAAGTAAATATCTAAAACAATAGACTATGACTGTTTCTAAAAAGATTATATGATGTTTGATCAAAAAAACAATTTGGTTGGAATATTTTTGCTTTATTTAGTCCTAGTCATCTTCTACTATTGTCATTTTTTGTATGATTCACATTCTTCAATAATTGTCTCTTTTTCAACTCTCTTCTGTATTTTTTGTTTTTAGATGTGTTGTACTTTGTTGCATTCCACCACTTTAAAATTACACACAATATGTTCTCCAGGATAATGAGACGGACAACAGATTAGCGAACGACTCGGACATAAATGAGTTTGAGACGCTGACGGCGAAGTTTCACTTTGTGGACCTGGCCGGGTCTGAGCGCCTGAAGAGGACCGGAGCCACAGGGGACCGGGCTAAAGAGGGCATCTCCATCAACTGTGGACTGGTGAGAACGCTTCTCAACCCGCTGTGTGCGGACGGGCGCTATGGAATAGACATGTGGGATAGACTATTATCATTGTAACAATATTTTAGTCTAATTAACTTTAATATCAAGTCTCTGACAACTAAATTTGGATAAAATCATATCAAATACAAGTCAGCATCTGTTACCTGTGAGATTTGTATGTGTATTTTTGTTGCTTCAGAAGTTTAGATCTCTATTATTCAAAATGTTTATACTAGGGATGTAAATCGGCGACCGTTTAACCGGTGGTTGACCGTCACAGCGTTAACCGGTCAAAGCTGTCGGTTAAAAAAGAGAAAAAGGGGAGAGGGGAGGTCTCTTAATAACGCTATTTTAAGCCCTATTTGCACGGTGTGACGAGCGGGTCTGTATCTAGCTGTGTGCGTATTATAAACTCCGGGACGACTCTCACGCTGCACGAGCCACATATGCACACACGCGCGCGCACACACACACACTTTCCCCCTCTCCATACGTAACATCCACACGCATCATCTCTCCCCTCTGTTACCGTCAAAGTTGCACACTGGCGCGGGTCAGAACTACATTGGAGCTTACATTTACACACACACACATATACACACACACACACACACACACACACACACACACACATACACACACACATACCGGTCTGTCGCGCTCCTCTGTGTCACGGAGCCCAAAGGATTCGCGCAAATACGCGGCTCCAGTCAAACCACATGGAACATGTTTGTGTTTATGGTCCTCGGGATCAGCTCCACACACATCACTTGTATTTAAACTTTTGTGAAGACCTGTGAGACGCGGCTCGTCACTCGCTGCTCTGACCATGTGAATGAGCCGTTGTTTGCTGCTAGAAAGTTTTGGTATTAACCCGCAGCACAGCAGAATGGGAAGATTAAAAAAGCAGTTCTCTGTGCGCAAAGGTGCCGGAGCTGTTGCGGGTTTTGGCGCCGCTGTCTCAACTCTGATCCAGTAGAACGCAGAGCTGCACTTATGAAAAGTACGCGGCTCGAAATGGCTGTTATTTCAAAGAACGTGGACTATTTTAAACTACGCGGTTAACCGGTTTCAACCGGTTAATGAGGCTCGGTGGTCGGTCATGAAAATTCATAGTTTTTTACATCCCTAGTTTATACCAATATTGTAAGTATTTCACCTCTATATATCGGTTATAGGTCTCCTTGACTATGTGTTATTACGAATAGGTTGACACTATATCCTTTACTTTGTTTTTAGCAATTCTGAACAAAAAGACATGTCTCGTTTGTCCATACACAGAAAGAGTCCTGTAAAAGTAAAAAGGTTGTGAACAAATGAGACCACAATAAGTATATCTGTAAGAAAGAGCCCTGAGAGTCACTATTTGACATTTGGTGGTCCTCGCTTTATCTCTTTTCTGTCTAATTAAAGCTGATCTAAAGATGTGACAGAGGCCAAAAATGAAAAACAGAATCAAATGTTTTGAGAGTTCATAGATAGGTATTATTACTTGTTTTGTGGTTTGTGAGTGAGCCCCAGCTTTAAATGTATAGGCCCAGATTATATTGAGTTGAGGGCAACATTTTTCAAACAAAAGTATTGCCCATAAATTAGTTTTTGTAATTTCTCAGGTAAAATTATGTTCTTTAAACCACATGGATTTGTTCATTAGGATTTTAATGTCCAAAAATATAATAATAATGGGATTAATGGGATTTATACATAACATTAAATATTACTTATTTAGGCTATGCTCATGCTTCCACATTTTTTCCTACAATGTTTCTTTCTTTCTTTCTCAGCTCGCTCTGGGGAACGTCATCAGTGCTTTGGGAGACCGCAGTAAACGCTCCAGCCACGTGCCGTACCGAGACTCCAAACTCACCCGGCTTTTGCAAGACTCATTAGGAGGCAACAGGTCAGTCAGGCCCCTCATCACAAACACACACTCAATGAAGCCCAATGGGGAAGTGCTCATGAACAAAGATTTTTCTCCTACTTGTCTATCCTTTTGATTAACTGTATATTGAAAAGTAAACTCCTCTTGCTCTGTAACTGTTTTTGGCTTAAAAATCCATGGTTTAGTGCTCTCAGGGATCCTGGTGTTCATATTGAGATAATGTTTTCGTCAATCCAAGTGTGAGCCCGAACAGCTGACCAATCAGGAGCCTTCTGTAGCTGAATACGACTTAAGCTAGCGAGAAGCACCACTCCTGATTGGTGCTTGGTCGGCCATTGTGTTGTGGAATTTCTCTACAGACCGAGAGCATAAACAATGAAAACAACCAAGAGCTGAATACAATCAAAGTATGAGTTTATCCATCAGTAAATGTAAACATACAAAAAAGGACCACGTCACCAATACCACCTCTGAAGCCGACTCCCTGAATGAGGAAGTTACTAGACATTAAATAGACAAGAGTAAACAAACACATATCAACACTAGATATTAAATTAATTTAATTCATGATTGATAATTGTAGCTCAAGGCTTCTCTTTATGTTTTCTTACTCTGATACAGCTCTGATAAATGCAATTATCTGTTTTGACCTGGAGCATGCTGTCCTTTCACACAGATATTGAAGAAAACATGTTTCCCATCTATCATCAGGCATTACTACAACAGAACAACAGATATATTCTGCCTTTGGATCGAGAGTTGAGAATTAGTTAATTATCAGATTTCTATAACAGTTGGTACTAACAATATTTGCATAAATGCGTTCCCGCTTGCCTGTTTGAGCTCGCTGTAATTGGCATTGGGCTTACACGATGGCGTCGTCTGTCCACTCCTGATATTCAGTCTATGGTCATCACTCATCACCGCTGTGCAACAAATAAATCTTCGTTTGATGTTGTTCACAGTCAAACTGTTATGATCGCCTGCATCAGTCCCTCGGATAGGGACTTTATGGAGACCCTGAATACGCTGAAGTACGCCAACAGGGCGCGGAACATCAAGAACAAGGTGGTGGTGAACCAGGACCGGGCGAGTCAGCAGATCAGCGCTCTCAGGACAGAGATCGCACGGCTGCAGATGGAGCTCATGGAGTATAAGACGGTCAGTGACAATGTCCAGTATGAGGAAAGCATTCCACATTTTCACTCATTTAATGATTGAGAACCAGGCCCTCTTTAGGCATAGGATCTTCTCAGACCAGTAGCCAGTGGCAGGGAGTGGCTGTGGCTGAACGTTTGTGGTTTTGAATGAATTTGAAATTTTTCCTTCAAAAAAAAAAAAAAACCGTCTCCCCTAATTCTACTCCACAAACATGCAAGGTTAAATGAAAACCTTTAATTGTTAGTGATTTCAAAATATTAGTTCTGTACTAATAAGAGGTTGAGATGTTGAGGTAATGACAGGGCCATCGTTCAGGATTTGACTGCTATTATCTATGTAGCTCTGTTCATGGTTCCAAACACTTTCTACTATGTCCAGGGGAAGCGCATGGTGGGGCAGGACGGGCTGGAGGGCATGAACGACCTGGTCCATGAAAACTCCATGCTCCAGACAGAGAACAGCAATCTGAGGCTCAGGGTGAAGGCCATGCAGGAGACCATCGACCACCAGAGGGCGCGCCTCACCCAGCTGCTCAGTGACCAGGCCAACACCGCCCTCGCCAGAGCAGGTCAGACACGTGCAAGTTCAAACTTAAAGGATTCTGCAAAATCGTTTGGATCATGTTAACATGTAACGTCATGTTAAAATGTGTCCCTTATTTAAAACAGAGCTGGAGTTATTTTTATATCCATCCATGCTAATATCACAAAGTTCTTCATTCTCAATCCTCTACGATCCTGTGTAGTTCTTCAGGCTGTGTTTGCAGACACATTTGGGAAATAAACTAAACCAGTTCTCCCCCTCCCTGTGGGGGTAGCATAGGGATAGGGCAGGCCCATAGGATTGTTTCACCTTCATACTTGTTTCACCTTAAATTTCCTACAATGACAAGAGTCCCTCTTGTATGTTTTGTCCTTTTTTGTGTGTGTCAATGTTGGACCATGAGTCCGTAATAAAAGCTTCATTCATTCATTCATTCATATCCTTTTAATTGCCAAAAATAATTGTTAATATTTCTGCTTCAAAGGTGAAGGGAGCGAAGAAATAGGAAATATGATCCAGAACTACATCAAAGAAATTGAAGAACTGAGGTAAGCGAGAGTGAAGGAATTATTTGGCCTTTTCAAGTAAGTAAGTAAGTAAGTTTTTATTTATATACCGCCTTTTCACTGCAGATCTGAGTCTCAAAGCGGTTTACAATTGTTAATTTTGGGCATTTGTCTCTCACTCCACACAGAGATGGGAGCGGGGTCGCCAGTACAGGAAGCGCATGCCAGAACTATTGGACATATTTTTAGTGGTAGGGGAAACCGGAGTACCCGGAGGAAACCTACGCAGACACGGGGAGAACATGCAAACTCCACTCAGAAAGGCCCTGGTCCGACCGGGATTCGAACCCAGGACCTTCTTGCTGAGAGGCGAGAGTGCTATCCACTCAGCCACCGTGCCGCCCGGCACGGTGGCTTTTCAAGACGTCTGCAACATTAAAGCTACCAAACTTTCAAACCACAAGAAACAGATTTTGATCAAATCAATCTAAGGCCATGCATGTGGAAACTAGTCCTAGCTCTCACTAGTTCCCACATACATGGCCTTTTTTGTCACATCTTTAGATCAGCTTTACAAAACAAAGTGACGAAGGGACCAGCCTCATGTCAGCCAATCAGCTCTCAGTCCAAAGCATTTAATAATAATGTTTTCTGATAAGATATCGACAACATGTTGCGCTCTGATTTATATATACAAACAAGTTTTACAAAAGCCAAAATCCATTATTTGCGCTTTTTGTTTCCTGTGGCCCTGAAACATTATTTCAGCAGATTTAAAGTCAAGCAAGTCCTGCAGTTTAAGTTATAATTTTTACATTATTTTAATTCTATGAACAGTAGATTAAAATGTTACTGATGTAAACCTGGAACATATCCAGGTTTACATCAAAATGACTACTAAACAGGATTGAAAGAATCACCTAGGCGATTGTTCCTCCTAATATAACTCCATGACATAATGGCTTGTTGTATTATTTTGCAGGCTGCCTTTTAGGAGTCATAAAACAGTATCGTATGCAAGAGAACCCAGGGTGAGGTTAAACTGTAGATGCTGTTGATTTCAGAGATAAACTCCTGGAGAGCGAATCCATGAATGAAAACCTGAGGAAGAACTTGTCCCGAGCCTCCACGCGCTCCTCTCTATACGGGACGGGCTCCTTCTCCTGCGCTCTGCTCGCCCCCGAGAAGGAGGCCAACGACGTCATCGAGATGGCCAAGAGGGACCTGGAGAAACTCAAGAAGATGGAGAAAAAGAAGAAGAAGAGGTATGTTTGATTAGTTATTATATGAGAATCTTTGGTCCATGGTGTAACTCATGTACAATTGTATTCGTAGTAATTTAGTTCAAAACACTTATATTTGAATTATATTTGAATAGCTACTCTGAAGCTGAAGCTACTCTTATATCCAAAGAGTAGCTTCACACACATGATTTTAAAGACCTTATGCCGGGTTTGATTTATTTAGAAATACAGTTTTAATCAATCTATCAATCAATCAAATTTTATTTATAAAGCGCTTTTCATACAAAAAGTGTAACAAAGTGCTTTACAGTTTAGTTAAAAACAATCCAACATGCCCAGCCCTAAACCCTCCTCCCCACAGACCCCCCCAAAACCACATTTATAATTATATATACAACCACATGCGTATACACACACACACATATACACACACACACACACAGACACACACATACAAGTATAAAGTCATATCAGGTAAAATAGGTAAAACAATAAAAAGAAATGGGGCTGGGAGCAGATGTAACCGGCTGAAGAAGCGCCATCCAAGGAGCCATCTGCACCAGGAGCAGAGAGCCAGCTGCAGCCACAGGGAACGACACAGGACCCAGAGGAGAGAGGGGCCCCAGACCCCACCAGGCCCAGGACTCAGACCCCATAGGACCCAGAGGAGAGAGGAGGCCCCAGACCCCCACCGGATCCAAGAGCCAGTCCCCCGAAGCCACAGCAGACCCCAGCTCTCAGTGCAGAGGGCTCCTCCAGAGGAAACACTGGGGACACTAAAACAATACAATAATACAATAGAAAGTAGAACAATAAAATGTGACAATAAAAGAAAAATGGCAGCTGCCTAATATTGATAATAAAAATAGTAAATGGGTAGATACAATAAATAATTAAAAATAGTAAATGATAAAAATAAATAAAAATAGAATGTGTCTAAAAACATAAATAGATGTACTAAAAAGCAATAATAAAGAATAAATACTAATCAAAAGCTACTCTAAAAAGGTGCGTCTTGAGCCTACTCTTAAATATATGAACGTAGTGCTGGAAAGATGCCTCGCCGTGAGTGTGTGTCCTGACTTTGGGAATGGTTAGGAGTCTGCTGCCGGAGGAGCGCAGGGGCCGGGAAGGTTCATAGGATAAAAGAAAATCTGAAAGATAAGAAGGCCCAAGACCATTAAGACATTTAAAAACCATTAAAAGAACCTTAAAATTGATCCTGAAACACACGGGGAGCCAATGCAGCGATTTTAAAACCGGTGTAATGTGGTCCCGCCCCCTGGTCTTAGTCAGGACACGTGCGGCCGAGTTTTGAAGTAATTGTAAACCTGAAATGTTCTTTTTGGGAAGACCAGAGAGCAGGGCATTACAGATAAAAAGCATGATAAAAGCATGCATCAGCGTCTCCGTGTTGGCCCGAGAGAGAATGGGGCGGACTCTGGTGATGTTCTTTAAATGATAAAAACCTATTTTTGTGATGTTCTTTATGTGAGGAGTAAAAGTCAGCTCAGAGTCAAAGATTACGCCCAGGTTTCTCACTTGTGATGATGGATTAAAAGAGTGTGATTGGAGTTTCGGTAAAAGTTTCTCTCTCTGGGCCTCAGGACCGATGACTAAAACCTCAGTTTTGTCCTGGTTAAGCTGGAGAAAGTTTTTCAGGTCTAAAATGCAGTTAAAAAGAGCATCCATTGGCCTGGTGTCATCAGGAGACATGGAGATGTACAGCTGTGTATCATCTGCATAACTGTGGAAGTCAATTCCATGTCTCCTGATGACACCGCAGGGAGCATGTACAGGTTAAAAAGGACTGGACCTAAAATGGAACCCTGGGGCACACCACATGTGATTTTATGGACCTGAGAGGAGCAGGTATCCAAACTCACCATGAAGGATCTGTCTGTTAAATAAGAAGTGAACCATTTGTGGACAGCACCAGAGAGGCCGAGGTGTTGTAGGCGTGATAAAAGAATGGTGTGGTCTACTGTATCAAAGGCAGCGCTAAGATCCAGTAGAACCAACACGGTCACCTTTTTAGAATCATAATTTAGTCTAAAATCATTTAAAATCTTTAAAAGAGCAGTCTCTGTGCTGTGGTTCGCCTTAAATCCTGATTGAAATTTCTCTAAAATTTGCTGCTGATCTAAAAAGGCATTGAGCTGGGTAAAAACAAGTTTTTCTAAAATTTTGCTTAAAAATGGTAAGTTGGATACCGGTCTGTAGTTGTTAAAATCATTAAAATCCAAATTGCTCTTATTCAGAAGGGGTCTCACCACAGCCGCTTTGAAGGCTGCAGGAAAGACCCCAGTCTGAAGAGAGCAATTCACCAGGTTTAAAAGCTCCTCTCTAAAAGATTCATAAAATGAATGAGTGGGGACTGGATCTAAAAGACATGTGGTGGGCCTCACTGAGGAGAAAACTTTATCAAGCATCTCAGCATCAACCAGGACTAAACTGTCCAGTGTTTCCTCTGGCGAAGACAAACAATCAGATGTGTTAAAAACAGTAGTGTGGTTGGATAAAATGTTACATCTGATTGTATTTATCTTCCCCATGAAATGGACTGCAAAATCCTCACAGAGGGAGTCTGTGGGGGTTAAAAGAGACTTGCTAAAATCAGGGTTTAAAATGGTGTCGATGGTTGAAAAGAGGATTTTTGGATTATTTTTGTTCTGGCTGATTAGCTTTGCAAAGTAATTGTTCCTGTTTTTCCTGATTGTGTTGTTGTAAATTTGCTGTTGGTTTTTATATATTTCGTGATTGATTGTCGTTTTATTTTTCCTCCACCTTCGCTCTGCCATTCTGCACTCTCTTTTCATACTCCTTGCTTCCTCATTTTTCCAAGGGGATATAGATTTTTGTTGAATGGATACAATTTTTAATGGAGCAACCTGATCCAGTGTAGTTCTTAGTCTACTGTTAAAATCATTTGCCATAAAATCACAGGGGGCAGGTAAAACCAACTGAGGGGTGTTATTTAGAATGTCAATAAAATTTGCAGCCACTTCAGGGGTTACACGTTGTTTCTTCACAGTTCTCACAGAGGTCTCCTGTTTAACAAAACCAGTGATTTTAAAAAACACACAATAGTGGTCAGAGATAGCCAAGTCAACAACAGAGGACACACCCGCACTCAGGCCATAAGTAATGACCAGGTCGAGGGTGTGCCCTCTGTTGTGCGTCGGCTGTGTGACATGTTGAGTAAAATCCATGTAGTTTAAAATTCTTACAAACTCGCAGGTAAAATGGTCTGATGGGTTGTCAAAGGGACCAATGTTGGAGTCCAGCGGGGCAGGAATGATGTGGGATGGAGTGATGGGTTGTCAGAGGTGCCGGGGACGGGATTGGACTGAGTGGGTAATGTTTGAAATCAGGTACCGGGTGCCGAGTTTATTGATATGGAGTCCATCGGGTGTGAAGAAGGGGTGGTGGTTCCAGAACAGATTAAAATTGTCAATAAAACCAAAGTTGTGCTGCTGTGAAGAGTTTTGAAGCCAAGTGTTGAGTGATAGTATCCTGCTAAAACGTTCCACGCCCCGGTTCAACGTGGGCAGAGGGCCAGAGATAAAAAAGCTTTTTCCGGTTTTTGATAAAAGGAGTTTGGTGATTTCAGATTGGCGGAGTGCAGCATCATTTGTACCAACATGTATTATGATCCGGGTTATTGTGGGGGGTGCTGTCTGTAGAAGTGTGGGTAGTTTAGTGATGATGGTGGGGACAGTGGCTCCGGGAAAGCAGTGCGTGATGGCATTGAAGAACTTACAGTGTTTGATGATAGAATCTCCCACCAGGAGTGTAGTTGGTGCAAACAGAGGCCGTGGAGGGGGGGGTGTGACTGGAGTAGGGCCCGGGGGAGAGCAGGGGACAGGAGAGCGTTGGGATGCGCCCGGAGCAGAGCTGCCACGAGCCCCGTGAGCTGCAGTGGAGCAGGAGGAGGGAGCCGGAGACCGTACCGGCGCCCCTGCAGCGGGGTTGGTGGTGGTGGTAGTGCGAGCGGTTGTGGGAGGGCCATGCACCGGGCGGAGAGGTCCTCCAGCAGGCGAGACAGCCTCCGCGGGGGAGCTCCGCGCTGAGATAAAGCGCAGAGACCCCCCCGTTGGGCGAGGCAGCAACTACGGGAGGACTCTGCGCCGTGGCACGGCGCAGAGGTCCCCCCGCGAGCGATGCGGCGTCTACGGGAGGACTCCACGCCGTGCCAGGGCGCAGAGGTCCCCCCGCGGCCACCTCAACGTAGGACCTGCTTTGTGTCTCGCCTCTGGGGATTCCCTCCGCGTCAGAGCACACAGACCCTCCCACAGCAGGGACAGCACTCCCGGGGGTATCCGGTGCCGCGTTGGGGCACAGAGATCCCCACGGGGCTTCCCGCAGTTGGTCCTGCTTGACACCCGGAGAGCCCCGCGCTGTTTGAGAGCGTGGGAAGTTCCCCGAGCGTCTGCGCACAGCCTCCTCCACCAACCTGCGGCGCGAGGACGCTGTGGATGTCGTGTGGCCTCCAGGCCTCTGCTCCACGTCGCTCTGGGTATGGGCAGCGGGCTCCGGGACTGAAGAGGAGGGAAGAGCACCGGGAGGGACAGGAGGAACAGCTGCAACCGGGGAGCGTGAGGTAAGCACCGGGGTAGAGCATGATGAGGGGTGAGGACAGGCGATTGGATCCCAGAGTGCAGTGTCGTGGAGCTGTGAGTGTCTGAGTACGGAGAGTGAGATTTGCTGTGACTGTTTGAATGATATGTCCATGAAATGTTCCAGAAGTTTCTCTTTATGTATGAGTTCGGTGGATAGTTCTTTGACAGTGCGCTGAAGTTCCTCGGGGGTCATGGTGTTAACAGGTTTGGATGGGAGGATTGAAGCAAGTTGTGATTTGTATATTTGTTTATATGAGTTCGCGGGGGGAGCATCGGTGTCCATGGTGATGTGTGTGGGCAGGCTGGTTACCGGTGAAAGGCTGATAAACAGTCCAGTTCAAAAGTGACAGTAATCCTTTTTGATACAGTCTGTTAAAATCCGCTTAATCCGTCGAGCAGGGCAAATAAAAACAGTAAAAGAAACTTCGTTTAAAAATAAATCATAAAAAACGTGCAGCTCAAAAAAGGCTCCAAACAAATGCGTCCGCCATCTTGCGCATGCGTGTTATGCATGTCCTCATCTCCATACCATTTGTAATATAAAATACCATTTTATATTAGAAGAGAACTACTAAAGGTTTCAAAATCAGTTGTTGTTTTTTTTGTCTGATCCCCCCAAATCGAAATAACCCCATAGCAACGCCCTTAGAAACGAAGAAACTTCACAGCCCTTGGTGACGTCAGAGTGGGTACGTTTCAACGCTGTAAGTTGTTTACAATTTGGTATTCGTTCTTTTTTTGCGGATATTCAAGATGACAAGGTCGTGTACAGCAAGTATGAGATTACTACTAGATTGTAACTCTTCATTGGCACTGAGATAGTCCAGTGGTTGTGTTGATGGACTGCCAATCCAGATACTGGGGTTCAAATTCCACCTTGGACACATTTTCACTCTCAAAACGGCAGTTTATGTGTAGTGAGCAATTGTCACCTGTAGAGGGCAGTATTGTGTTGGGCATCAGTGGAGAGAAGAGAGAAAAGGCAGTCCTGTGGCATAGATCCATGGTTTTCAATGCATGGGCGTAACCCGCTATGACGTCACACACAGGTTAGAGCATAGACAACTTAAATTCATGAAAAACACGTTCTTTTAATAAAATATAGGATTTTTTTTGCCGGAATCTATTTTAGATCGACATTGTCATGCAATTTTGATATCCACAATTTTTTTTTTTTAAACCCGGCATAAGGTCTTTAAAGTTCTAAATTCAGGCATATCTATTCTTCTGCTTTCTCTTTATCTGTAATTATGGAGAACTATATCATGGATTATTTTTGTACATTAGGTATCATATTTTTTTCACACGCTTTCAACATTGTTTGTGCAGTTTTAAAGTTAATTCACTGGTACTTACTAACCACATACAATAGGTTCTCAAATAATCAACCTAATCGCTGAAAAAAAGACACTTTATTTTATATGCATACAGGTAAGTTTTAAGTACATGTAGTGTGTGTGGAAGTAAAGGGCCTGGAACTTAATTTTTGTATTTATTCATTTCATGTTTGAATGTTTATGCCCCTTTTTTTTTTTTTTTGAAAGACCATAACAAAATTGAGCACGATTTTGTTTTTCTTTTTCTTTTAAACAAAAACCTGTGAGCCTCCGACCTACTGCATGTATGTTATATTTTATTGGCTGGTGTGTGAAATAATATTTGATGAAGTATTGTGTTATATTTTCCATTGACATTAGCCCTCACCAGTTTTCACCAGATCCTCTATCAAACTGCATATTACAGTGGACCATATCCTGAAGCATCTTAAGTCACTCACATGTTGCTTGTCACTGGTCCCCCTCTGTCTCCCCCCTCACCCCCCACCTCCAGACTGCGGTGCCATGACGACGGCCCTCAGCGGGACATGGGCCACCCCAGGTTTGCACAGCCCTCCGACCAAGAGGGCTCCATCCATTTATAAAGCTCATCCAGACACTCCAGAGCAGGGCTGTTATTGTGCAGAAATATTGTATTTATGGGAAAGTAACATTTAAAGCTGGGGTATTTAACTTCTATTGTTTTATTAACAACAGTAGCTCAGTTGGTAGAGCATTGGCCTTAAGGCCAGAAGGTCGTGGGTTCAATTCCCACCTCTGCACCTTCTCCATCGACTCCCACTGATGACTGCTGTCGTTGTGTCCTTGGGCAAGACACTTAACCCCAATTTGCCCAAAGCCCCCACTGAAAGATCAAGGCTATGCTCACACTCAGAGAGCAGCCATCCTCCTGTGGACTCACCACCTGCAGAGGGTCAGTGAGGGGCTGGTGCTATGAGACTTGGGTGGCATCTCTGATTGCCACCCCCCTGACCCAGAAATGGATTAAAGGGTAGAAAATGGATGGATGGATGGATGTTTTATTAAAAAACCTTCCACCCCCATACTATACGAGGTGAAACTTGGAAAATTACAATATTGTTCAAAAGTGTGTTTATTTCTGTGTTGAAAATAAACCATGCCTGGGTCATTCAGACCTTTTTAGAGCCTAAACTAGGGTCTAACCATCAACATTCAGCTTGAAAACCAATTAACCAAGGATTTGGAAAGAATATTTTGTCGGGTTAATTTGACCCGAGGATAACATAGGGTTAAAAGGTAAAACCAATATAGGACATAGACATATTACATGCAAGGGACAAGTGTTTGTGATTATTTAGATGATTATGGCTACAGTTCAATTTCAAAATGTTATAAAAAATGAATAAATGTTTTTTACAAGCTGTGAGTCTATTATATTAGCCTCACTAACATCGTAAACTGTCCCACCACATGATTTTGTCTTTATCTAGAACTTCCCCGTCCTCATAACCTACCTACATATATGTTGGAAGAGTCTTGTACAATGTTTTGAGCAAATCAGAAACATGTCGTCTTTATCTTTCCTGAAAATATGTTATCTTTTCCAAACTTGTAAGAAAGAGCCCTGTGAGTCACAATTTGACGCTTTGGGCTGAGAGCTGAACTCATTCTCTTTTTTTCTCTGAAAAAGCTGATGTAAAGATGTGACAGAGGCCATATGACAACACAAGCTTGTGAAAACTACTGATATTTTTCTGGTTGAAAATGAGGAACCCCGGCTTTAGATGAGACAATAAATTAGAACAGTTCAGGTACAACAACAAACAGTGATTCTGGCTCAATTATTGTAAAAGTTTGGCCCCCCCCTGCTCTGTAGGGACACCACTAACATGTTTCTTTCCTGACCTCAGACTAACATGCTTTTTTCTGCACAGGTGATTCGCAGAAGTTAAAGGTCCTGACTTTTCCCCTGTTTCTCTTCTTAATATTCTCTAAATAATGCACATTTTAAACACACCTTTTCTCATATTGATTTATTTTTACAGTCATCTGACCTTATTATAATCATTTTCATTGAGCATCTATGTTGATACAACCAACTTGTATTTGTCCCACAGTGGGGATTGATAAACTAGAAATCTAAAATATATTTCAAATTGGATTATTATCGAGAACCGTTCAGTTATTCAGAATCATACAGTTTCATGAGAACATATTTATGAGATTATAATTTTGAAGGATTTAAAGAGGCCTGAAAACACAAGTCATTTCATCAATCAATTCATGTATTTATTTCAAACCTGCACAATTTCTCATGTAAACATATGCATGGTTTGAAAAGGGGTTTGGCAGAAGCAAATTCTTATGTACGTATATCCAACCCCCTCTCACACAATCTCCACAACACAACCACAATGCAAAAATACAAAACACAGATCTACAGTATATCCCCACAAACTGCCCCCACCAATAAAGTAAGCACAGGTTGTTGTGTGGTATCAATAATCAAATCATTCCCAGCCTTTTGTGTTCCATTACCCATAGATTGTTGGTGATTAAAGACTGATCCTCTTCTTTCACGCATGTGCTCCCCAGTGTTACCACAAGGATGGGACCAAATAATCAGATCATTTATATTTGTGTATTTATAGTGCCGTCAAAGAGGAGGTCCCAGATAATGACCAGGAGGGGCCCAACGAGGACGGAGAGGTAACCCTGTCATAAGTGCTTTTAGGGATTTTAGAGTTTGGAGACCACTAGTGTATTCATGATTATTGAGCATGGAGACTAGAATCCATTTTTGAATCCTGCCCTTGTCTCCGCTGTCGTCAGGAGGCCAGTGATCATGAGGAGAACGAGGACGCAGACGCAGAAGACGAGGAGTTTGAAATGGCAGCGGAGGAATCGTCAGAAGATTCAGACTCAGAGGAACTGGAGGAGAAAGGTAACAGTTCACTACACTCTGTGGTCTTCTCTGGGATTTAAGTGCATGTGTTTGGACTGGGAGTCTGCAGCAGAGTTTTACGACATATCTGACAAATATTATTATTGCTTTAGTGGCAAGTGCAAAGATGTGCAGTTGTTGTATGTCTAAAAATCATGCATTTCTGTTCATGCGTTTCTTTAATGCATAAACAACAAGACAAAAACATACATTGGAAATAAAGTTGTATAAGAATGTATTGTTATAGGCCAAAATCAGCCAATATTTGACAAGCTCCAGAATCCAACACACATTTTATACAGTAAGCTCATCCTGACGTTTTTAGTATCTCTCTATAACGTTCCAGGGTTCCATCTTTTGTCTTGTGTCACATCATATTTATGAATAAACCCTAACATAGGATATAATGGTATAACATATATCATCTATTGCAGATACTAAAAAAGTTGTATCGCCTTTCCCTAATTATCACTGGTCAAATCCTGTGTTGTGTATCAGAAAACGTGCAGGCCGACTTGGCGAACATCACCTGCGAGATCGCCATCAAGCAGAAGCTGATCGACGAGCTGGAGAACAGCCAGCGGCGTCTGCACACACTCAAGCAGCAGTACGAGCAGAAGCTCACCATGCTACACAACAAGATCCGAGACACACAGCTGGAGCGGGACAAAGTACTGCACAACATGGGTGAGTGAGGACACACGCACACACACACACGTATACACGAACACATATATACACACACACACACATAAATAAGAATAAAGTAAGCCATATGTCCTGTATGTCTCTTCTTCACAGTAACTGACAGCGCTGCCTTTCAAAGTATGTATCAAAGGATGGCGACTTTAATAATGATTTACTAATGATTTTAAAAGTTGTCAGCTAATTTAGTCATCAATTAATCATTTCTTTAACCCTTTTTCACACACAGACAGACACACACACACTCTCAGGCACTCTGACACATGAACACACACACACACACAGGTCCAAGGTTATAATAATGTTAAAAACCATAAACCTTTCAGTATCCAAACAAGTGTAATCAAAACAATAATGAAATCTAAATTGCAGTTTTACTTACCACAATTAGCAAATTGTAACAGCTGCAATCATTTAGATTACATGACAAAGCAGTGTAGATAAAGACACACATCTCATTTCGTGTGGCTGGGTCAGAAAAGCGGAAAAAGATCCACTCAGCAGTAGTAGTATAGTTCCAAGATATATATTTTAAAATCTTGTTTTAATTTATTTTTTCAAAAATGAGTCAACATACATGAAGACAAATACACAGACAAACAGGTCCAGGGCAGAAACTACATGGTCTTCATAAATATCATGCAGACCACATGTGACATTTCAGGCCTAATCCTAACATTACATTGGCTTGTGTTATATTTTAACAAAGCCCTGTGTTAAGAGCAAAGAAATAAAACAATAGAGCTTAGAATTAAACACACACTGCAAATGTCAAACATAGGCCAAAAACAGCTGAAATAAGGCAGTATTTATCTTAATTAGAGTGCATTTCTTGTCTGACTAGTTTTATGCACAGTGGGGTTTTAAAAGAGAATTTGTCATTTAATTTCTTGAAATTAATTTTCTATGAAATTATCTTCAAATAATAAAACACAAGTTTAAACAGTTTTTTCCCCTTACATTTGAATTCCGCTGTAAACTTTGAACATCATACTTGCTGAACACAGAATTAACGCATCCAACCATAATCACATTGGTTATCTGAGTTTTTTTTTTTTTTTTTTCAAATAGTGCAGCCCTAATCTAAAAGGGACCTGAATACGTTTTAGTCTTCATTCACACTAATGCATCACTAACTCGGTCCTCACCGGGTTTTATATCATGTTTAATCTTTTATGCCTCCTTTTCTAACGGAATAGGTTGCAATATTTTTAAACAAAATGCCACAAGAAACAGTCCAAACTAATCTTTGATTCCCGCTGTAGGATCTGTGGAGTCATGCACGGAGGAGAAAGCCAAGAAAATCAAGACTGAATATGAGCGGAAGCTGAGCTCCATGAACAAAGAGCTCCAGAAGCTGCAGTCGGCGCAGAAGCAGCACGCCCGACTGCTCAAGAACCAGTCCCAGTACGAGAAGCAGCTCAAGAAACTCCAGCAGGACGTCACTGAGATGAAGAAGACCAAGGTAGAGGCATTTTTGCACAATTGGAGCTTAGTAATGCACCCACACCTTGTAGTTCTGGAAATCAGTGTATATTGAAAAATATGTAAATATTTTTTTTTCCCATCCCACAGATATGTATATATAAAAAAGTAAAAATCTATGTTGTGGATAATGAACACAACACTGTAAAGTTTTTAATAATTTTTTAGCATCCCTATTTTCTTTTGGACTTAACACTCCTCAGTTTTGAAAAAGTGTAATTATATATTTTGGGCGGCACGGTGGCTGAGTGGATAGCACTCTCGCCTCTCAGCAAGAAGGTCCTGGGTTCGAATCCCGGTTGGACCAGGGCCTTTCTGAGTGGAGTTTGCATGTTCTCCCCGTGTCTGTGTAGGTTTCCTCCGGGTGCTCCGGTTTCCCCTACCACTAAAAATATGTACAATAGGTCTGGCATGTGCCTCCTGTACTGGCACCCCTGCTCCCAAAAATAACAATTGTAAACCGCTTTGAGACTCCGATGTGCAGTGAAAAGGCGGTATATAAATAAAGATTACTTACTATTACTTACTACTATATTTTTACACACTTGTAAGAAAGAGCCCTTGTAGTCACTATTTGATGCGTTGGCCTTGAGCTGATTGGCTGAGTGAGGTTAGTCCTCTCTCTTTCACGCTTCTGTCTGAAAGAGCTGATCTAAACAGGTGACAAAGGCCAAAAAATAACGCATGTGAAAGCTACTGGTAGAAACAAATCCAAACAGATACATTTCGTGCTGTTTTAAAGCTCCCTTCATAACAGGGTGTTCATGATGCTTGAAATGGAACTATGTTATAAAATCCATCTTGTCCTTTTCTCTCAAGACAGCTGATTTGTCCACAACATGCCGCACATTGTATGAAAAGTGGGACTGCTGAGGCTGTAATGTGGTCTTGTATCCTGCAGGTGTCACTGATGCGTCAGATGAAGGAGCAGCAGGAGAGGAGCCGAGCCTCCGAAACCCGAAGGAACAGAGAGATCGCAACTCTGAAGAAAGACCAGCGCCGATCTGAGGTCTGCCACTCAGTCATGTGAATGTTGAATCACATGTTTATAACTTAAAACAGCATTCTTTATGTAACTCAATTGAATCAAATATAAATCTCATCACATGATAAAGTACTGTTCTGTGGCTAAATTTGTTTTACTGTTTTACTTGTAGCATCAACTGCGGCAGTTAGAAGCGCAAAAGAGGCAACAAGAATTGGTATTGCGAAGAAAAAATGAAGAGGTAAGACCAGTGATGGAAAGTACAAAAGTGAAAATGGTATTCTGTTTAAGTAGATTTTGTTACTAGACAAAGTACTCAATAAACAATTCTCCATAACACTGTAACTATTTACTGATGAAACATTACTTTTGAAACTAATATATGACAGACTCATTACACGCAACATGAGATATCACAAGCATTTATCTGTTATAATGTTGATAATTGGCTCACAGGTTGTAAAAATTTGATTAAGAAAATTGTTCTGTGTTCCTTATTTACCTCCAAATTGAATATCTTTTTCAGCACAAGATGAGCACTAATCAGTTTTAACTTAGCATTCTGAAGTCATGTACACTAACTGACAGTTTTACATAATTTACCCCTGTGTCATAGGTGAGCGCTCTGAGGCGACAAGTGAGGCCCATGTCCGGTAAAATGAGCAGAAAAACCCCAGAGGAGCCTTCACACCGGCTGCCCACGAGCAGAACACACACCAGCACCGCGGCTCACACCAACGGAGCCAGGTAAGTCCCGCACTGATCCGTAAGAACCATACACCTGCCACTTCATTTCAATTCAATTCAGTTCAATGTATTTTTTTCATAGCCCTAAATCACAACAGTGGCTATTTCGGAATATCAGAAATTCAACAGGCAAATGTCTATAAATGTCAATAGATGTCCATACATTTTGTTTTATGTGAAATGTCCTGGATCATGACCGCTGTCCATAGACCCTCATGCATCAGTAAGGAAAACAAAAAAAACAGTCTGTAGCATTAGTGTGGGTCTAACGCTCCTCTGTCTGTCTGAAGGAGGTCCCCAGTGCGCACCGCCAACCTCTACCTCACCCGCACGGCCCGCGCCAAGTGGCAGTCTCTGGAGCGCCGCGTCACCGACATCATCATGCAGAAAATGACCATCTCCAACATGGAAACAGACATGAACCGGCTCCTTAAGGTAACAGCTTTTTACAGTGAAATGTTGAATTTACTTGTTCTATTTCATGCAACAAGTGATATCTGCAACTTCAATTGGATTTGGTATTTGAAAATAATTATTTTTTGACTGTATGACCCATTAGTATTATTTTAATGAAGTCACATTACAGAATTTTGAATATTATTATTATTGAATTACATAAAATAAAATTAACTTTTGAACAATATTCTAATTTTAAGAGCTTTACCTAGAATGGAACACAATGAAATGAATAATAACACAATGGGCTGATTACATTTCAGTTAGTATTTCTTCTAATATTTTTTTTAATGATGTCAGAATGTGCAATGTGACGGGTCATATACCCTCATGCTGGTAACATGTGCAGATATATACATACAACTAGATATTTCTTGCAGTAGAATATACAGTTAACTATTTTGGCTTCTCTTTTATGCTATAGTCAGAGATTTTATACTTAATTTTTGCATCTTTATAATGCTAAAGATGGAGATTTTAGACTTGCTCCTTTAGTATTCTAATGAGATTTTATTTAATTTTAGTGTTAAGTTATTGTTCACTTATATTGCGCTGTGTGCTCCTTATTCTACGACACTGAAAGTTCCCCACTACGGGATGAGTAAAGGGGTAGGATCTCTTAAATAATCAAACGTTTCCCTCTGCAGCAAAGAGAGGAGCTGACGCGACGTCGGGAGCGTGCGCTGAGGAAGAAGGACAAGATGAGCTCAGACGGAGCAGACGCAGACCGCAGCCTGGCGTCCCTGAGCGAGGAGCTGGAGTCTCTGGCGGCCAACATCGACTACATCAACGACAGCATCGCGGACTGCCAGGCCAACATCATGCAGATGGAGGAGGCTAAGGTGCGCCTCAGACTGCTCTTGTTTCACACTGCATCAACATCTTACAGCATTTATCTCTTTGGTCACATGTCTGCACTGATCCCCACTGACCACAATGTTACGGACTCAATACTTTTGTCTGAATTTAGCTGGAGTAAGTTGTGTTGCATCTGATTCTGTTGGACGCAGTGAAGGAGTGAATCCACTGGTCCATGTTCTCCTGCAGTCAGTGAGACATAGATCTGAGTGTTGTCTGTGTAGTTGTGATAGGACACGTTGTTACTGTGTATGAACTGACCTAGCAGCAGTATGTAGAGATTGAACAGCAGAGGTCCTAGGATCGACCCCTGTGGCACTTATTTAATATTAATTACACTAAATATACTCTTTTTTTTTCAATATACTTGTTAGTAATTTTTTGGGACAATAACATTCACCTATAATTGTCATAATTGTCGATAGCCATAGCAGGAACATGTTTCTCATGTTTTTATAATAAGTTATTGGTTGTTGTTTTTCAGGATGAGGGTGACACCGGGGACGTGACAGCAGTGATCAGCTCCTGCAGTCTAACTGAGGCACGCTTTCTCCTGGACCACTTCATGAACATGGCCATCAACAAGGTACCAGAGAAGTGTTCTCTCCTCATACGTCCACTTTCTTTCCTTCACCTTGCGCTGGGTCTGAGCAGTCTGTGATGTGTCTTCATTCTGTCAGCAGTAAACTCTTTCACTATTTCAAAATCAGAATCAGAACATAATTGCATACATTTTCTTTGGTACTATGGTCTGGTATTAGTTTTATTGGAGTCCTCAAGAGCCATTTTGTGCCCAGTACAAGTACAATTCAATTTTAAGTTCCTTATTCAGATTGTGTCTGTTCTTTTATTTATTTTTTCCTTAACAAAATGAACAAAATAACTTTACTTTTCAAACAATATTAATAAATGGAGCGTTAAAGTGCCATCACAAACCTTTATTTCTTCCCATCAATTTTCATTTCAAGTACTTTAAATTGATTTTTGATGAACCCTTACATCCTTTCTTGACTCCATGTGTTCAAATCAAATCTATGTTGTCGTGAAAGCATGGTAGGGCTTGTGTACAGAGTATGTTTTTGACCTGCGTCCCCTGGGGGTGGTGGGGGCGTGCAGGGCTTGCAGGCGGCGCAGAAAGAGTCCCAGCTCAAAGTGATGGAGGGTCGGCTGAAGCAGACGGAGATCAACAGTGCCACTCAGAACCAGCTGCTGTTCCACATGCTGAAGGAGAAGGCCGAGATCAACCCAGAGCTGGACGCACTGCTGGGGAGCGCTCTCCAAGGTACGCAAAGAAGCATACTACCAAAGTACTACAAAAGTTCCAATACACACGTAAACAATACTATTAACCAGTTAGAAGGAATACTGTCTGCGTCCACACTTGTAATCACCATCCAAAAGCTGAGGCTGGCGCTACTTTATCTGGACAAAGATTACAAAACGTTGGCCTAGATTTGGGATATGTAGTGTAGTGGATATGTATTTATTATTACGCTATACAACCGTGCATACAGTAGTAGAATAGAATAGAATAGAATGATATCTGGAGCATAGTCTGCTTTATCTATACATTTCAATTGTCCTGGTTTGCATGGGGAATAAAGGATTGATGAGAAATGTGTTTGGAATCATGTTACAACGTTTTCCCTCATCAAAAACAGACTGAGAGTTATATTTCGTTCCACTCACGCTAATATCCGGGAATTCTGACTCAAACCTGTGTCTACGCAGCATCTGTCTAAATACCCCTTTTTGAAATGAAATTGGTCTACCCTAACTACCTATGTACTGATGTCAAGAAATAGTACTTCACTAGTATTGTTATTTTGTCAACATCAAACATGGCATTCTGCATTTGAAGACATGAGTGTGTGAAGACAATATACTTTAACTGGGGAAATTCTCAAAACTTCTCAGGGCATTTAGACAGAAGGGGTTGGGGGGACGTGTTTGTGCCAACTTCAAGTCTGTCTTTGATGAGGAACATCGCACAAGGGCACGGCAACTGAAAAGCTTGTAGTAGTATTTAAAGCTGGGGTACCTAACTTTCAAACCACAACGGAACTTTCCTCACTCTAAAACAGCTTGGCACTAGCACTACTTTTCACATGCATGTATTTTTCGGCCTTTGTTATACATCTGTAGATCATCTTGATAGAGGACCACCTTCGCTGAGCCAATCAGCTCTCAGCTCTTTTTCTTATAAGTATGTAAAAGTATGTTTTCTAATAAGACAACAGCATGTTGTGGTGTCATTTGTTCACAACATTATATATTTACCAGACTCAGACTTCTGTTGGGACAAACTGTATGAACTATTTATGGAACACAAAGTTAGGTACCTCAGCTTTAATCCCTCAATATGTATTCTCAACTATTTTATCTTGAACATGAAATGCTCCTGACACCAAGTTATTCAGAAAGCTCATTTGGAGAGAGGTACCCAGGATTAGTTGCGTAAGCTTCAGAGTCCAGGCCTCAGAAACCAAAGGACAAGTGTGAACGCAGCAGAAAGCATGAACACACATTAAAAACAGTTCATTCACTATGTTTGCTTACATTCATTTTACAGGCTATTACATCATCCATACTAAAATCCTTCTGAAATAGTACAAATTCACAATGACGATAATTGCGCCATGCCTGTAAAATGAGCGTGGCGGCTTTCTCACAGAGTTTGACTTTGATTTTGTTTTTGTTTCTGTTGTGGTGAATTCAGAGTTAGGTTTCATTGTACCTGGTGAGTATGAGGCTGTCCATGTGTGTGTGTGAAGCTGTGGACCAGGCACACTACATCGTAGAGCTACTGGTTACGCTGTAGTGTGCATCCGCCACAGTCTTCAATACTAATCCAGCTGTAGCCATTGCTTGCATGAAGTCATTGTTTACCCATGCAAGATGCCCCGCCCACCATGTTTATACTTATTGCTGTAACTACGAACAGGGTTTTGTGTCCCTTTGAGCCACTAGTGTCAAGTTGGGGGTTTTGTATATCAGCAAAAAGCAGTTATTTACTGAGGACTTGGTAAATGTACAGCATACATGCATCGTCATTATTACTGCTGCTGATCTTGTTCTGTTTTAATATATATTCTCTATAATATATTGATAAAAACTAGGGCTGTCACAATTATCGCGTTAACGCACATTATCAATCAATCAATCAATCAATCTTTATTTATAGGGCGCTTTTCCTGCACAGGGCAACACAAAGCGCCTCACAGTCCACACCACACAATGCACAAATCATCACCATTAAAATACAATTAAAAACACATATGTAATTAAAAAGCATTAAAATCACATAAGTAATTTAAAAACATAAAAATCACACAAGTAATTAAAAACAATAAAATAGTTAAAAACACAAAAAGTTACAACAATAAATAACAAGGTGTGTTAAAAAGATAAAATTCTCTAGTTGTATGCACGGGAAAAAAGAAAAGTCTTTAACATGGATTTGAACATTGACAGAGAGGCAGCCAGTCTCACATCCTCAGGAAGACCGTTCCAGACTCCAGCTGCATAAATCTGAAAAGCAGCCTCCCCCTGTCTAGTCCTGACTCTGGGCACTAACAGGAGTCCCGTCCCTGCGCTCCTCAGAGTCCGGGCTGGTTCATATGGGACTAGCATATCATGGATGTACTTTGGTGCAAGGCCATGGAGAGACTTGTACACCAGGAGAGCTGCTTTAAAGTCTATCCTCTGGGCCACGGGAAGCCAGTGCAGAGACCTGAGGACCGGACTAATGTGGTCGTACTTCCTGGTTCTAGTCAGGACTCGGGCTGCAGCATTTTGAATATACTGCAGCTGTTTTACTGCATGTTTGGAGATACCTGTGAGCAGGCCATTGCAGTAATCCAGCCTACTGGAAACAAAAGAATGGATTAAGAATCTCCAAGTCTGCCCTGGACACAATATTTTTAATTTTGGCAATATTTTTCAGATGATAAAAAGCTGCTGATGTTACCGATCCAATGTGGCTATTGAAGTTTAAGTCAGAGTCCATTATTACTCCCAGATTTCTGACCTTATTTAAGGGCCTTAGGGAGAGAGACTGAAGGTGACAAATGACGGTCTCTCTTTGTTTCTCGGGACCAAAGACAATCATTTCGGTTTTGTCCGCATTTAGCTGGAGAAAATTGCATTGCATCCACTCACTGATCCGCTGGATACAGCGAAGGAGTGAGTCCACCGGCCCATGCTCTCCTGCAGTCAGTGAGACATAGATCTGAGTGTCATCAGCGTAATTGTGGTAGGACACTTTCATACTTTGAATTAACTGACCTAATGGCAGCATGTAAATATTGAACAGGAGAGGTCCCAGAATCGACCCCTGTGGCACTCCGCAGGTCAGGGCCATATTATCTGAGACATAGTTTCCAATCTCCACACTTCCACAATCTCCATTAAAGGCGCTATACCCGTTTCTGCAATGTTTGAATGTTTAGCACCGCCCCCAACTCGCTCACAGGCTTCTCATTTCCCCTACGCTCTCATAACACGGAGCCACCTAGTTTTATTTGCGATCTGATACATATGCTAACATTAGCATTAGCACAACTTCTTGTAAGCTGTACAACAATCACTGATGAAATGGCACTAAAGCAACGCACTGCTAACACAATATATAAGTAAAAGAATACCGCTAGTTTCGCGTCCGAATGTATTAATTTAAAACCTTAGAATATATTCTAATATTTAATTTTTAATTTGATATTAGAATATATTCTCAAAGCAGCAGCAGCAATTCTTCCGTTCTTGATAACAGAACTCTCAAACCAATAATGACCGAAGCCCCAATGCAATCTCTGTTTGTGATTCAGGTGTGTAAAATACTGCCATTACTCTGCAAGTACAAAACGCTATCAGCGCTTGTCACTACACACTTGTCTGTGTAGAGAAGCTAGCGGAGCTAGCCACGCTCAATAAACAACTACATATCTATCAATCAACACCATTAAACGTCAATCGGACAATACAGTATACATATACATCTTTAAAACACATGCACGGATGATTTCAGAATTTGCTGTTAACGTTTTCATGACAAAAATACTGTTTCAATGTGACAAAAAGCGATTGCGAAAAACCCGGAAGTTACCATGAAACAGCTAGCTAGCTTAGCTGTTACCTGCCTAGCACGTCCCGGTGAAACCTTTGGGAGCTAACTATTTTATTTGCAGTCATTTAATACATTTCGAATTACAAGGGTTGTCTAATATTTGTTCACATTTTTTTATTCAATTATTTTGTTCCTCATTTTTTATTTTAGAATTATATTCGAATTTTGAAGTCGAAACCCTGGTGTTAAGCAGCGCTGTAGAGGCTAGAGGACGCAGGCTGTTCGCTGCTCGTTCTGTGAGCGGAGGAGAAAGAGCGGCCCGCTCAGACTCTACTCAGCACTTTTCACTGCTTGTAATTCTTACACAGCTGAATCAATTACCTCAAGTTTTCAATTAAATGATGTATTATGATACAACTTGTATGTAGTAAAAAGCATTTTTATGAACTACTTAGAAAAAAAATCGGGTATAGCTTCTTTAATCGAGTTTAAAAAATTAATGCTTGTACTGAGTGACCTGCCCATGCATCCCATAATATCACTCAGAATGCCGCGGACACATGCGTGTGATGGCGACAGAGCAGGTAGGTCCTCTGTCTGGGATTTCAAGTTTATAAAGAATACGCGCGTGACCCGGGGCAGCTGCAGCTGCTCTTTACAGCGGTTGCCACCGCCAGCTGCTGTGACCCGCTAACAACAACACGGCGAACGGCGCCGCTGTAACATGATCATATCCAAGACCATACGCACGATAAATACAGCGCTGAAGCTGCACTATGGAGCCTCAGGAAGTGTCCGTGTCTCCTCCCGCTTCGCAACTTAAGCTTGTTAAATTAAAGCTGGTTCCACAGCCTTTATGAGACAGCGACAAATAAGAAAGAGGAGGCTCTAGCTGAAGCGGGATATGTCGAGCTGAAAAAATAGTGTCTTCTACAGAAAGACAGAATGTTAATAATGTTAATGCCATTTTATGTGGATTTTTTGTTATAATAAACAAATACAGTACATATGTACACTATGTCATCATTCATCTTTCCATTCAAACAACCATTTACAGAAAAATATGGCATCATTTGCCGATAATTCGAAATGCGATTACGATTAATTTATTTTTAAGATGCAGCCAGCGTAAGTTCAATTTGGTAGACGTCAGCCAAAGGTAACCCCTCCAGGCCGGTTCTCATCCCCAGCCTATCGCACGGCAAACGCCCCCTTCCAATCACCGGTCCAGCCAGGCAAGCTGCTTAAAAGCGGAGGAACTCCCATTCTCGGCCTCTTGAAGCTGCAGCAAAGAGCGAAGCCTTGCAAAGAGTCGTTCTGGAGGAATCGCTTTGTTCTACTCTCACTTACTTCGTGCGTGTCCCTGCTGTCCTCTGTCCTGCTGCGTGTCGTCTGCTCCTCCTCCACGTCGCTGCACCTGCTGCGGGTCTCGTGCTGTGGTCCGTGGGTCTTTGCCGCTCTCCTCCTTTGCAGGCTCTTTCTGCGGGTTCGCCGCTGCTCGTCTCGTCGCGGCCTGCTGCTGCATACGGCCGGTCTGGACCGGTGCGGTGGGAGCCGTGCGCATCCCTGCCTCCTCGTGCCATACGGTGTGGTCCCGTCGTGTTGTCCCTTATCTTCTGGCGTCGCGGGTAAGTATGAGATCTGCGGACGGTTTATTCCCCTCGCATTGTCCTACAGGCTCAGTTGGCCCCGCGCTTGTACCGCAGGCTCAGTTGGCCCCGTGCATTCGTGGGCAAGCATCAGTTTAAAGCCCTCGCATTGGTCTGCAGGCTCTCTTTAACCAAGCTCCGTTTAAATCCTTCACTCTGACTGCAAGCTCCGTTTAATCCCTCAAATTGGACTGCGAGCTCTCAGTTTAATCCCTCACGGAACTGCTTATATCTGGAACTGCTTACGTATTATGGAACTGCTTACGTATTGTGGAACTGCTTACGTATTATGGAACTGCTTATGTATTACGGAACTGCTTATGTATTACGGAACTGCTTATGTATTATGGAACTGCTTTTATGCTCATACCTGGAACTGATTATATGGTACTGCTTATACCTGGAACCGCTTATACAGTGCATGGAACTGCATATATTGGTTCTGCTTATATCTGGACCTGCTTATATATGGACCTGCTTATATATGGATCTGCTTATATACGGAACTGCTTATACATGGATCTGCTAATATATGGAACTGCCAATATATGGAACTGCTAATATATGGAACTGCTAATATATGGATCTGCTAATATATGGAACTGCTAATATATGGATCTGCTAATATATGGAACTGCCAATATATGGAACTGCTAATATATGGAACTGCCAATATATGGAACTGCTAATATATGGAACTGCTAATATATGGATCTGCTAATATATGGAACTGCTAATATATGGATCTGCTAATATATGGATCTGCTAATATATGGAACTGCTAATATATGGAACTGCTAATATATGGAACTGCTAATATATGGAACTGCTAATATATGGAACTGCTAATATATGGAACTGCTAATATATGGAACTGCTAATATATGGAACTGCTAATATATTGGAACTGCTCATATTGGAACTGCTCATATTGGAACTGCTCATATTGGAACTGCTCATATTGGAACTGCTCATATTGGCTCATATTGGAACTGCTCATATTGGAACTGCTCATGCAATATATGGAACTGCATATGTTGGTACTGCTTATATCTGGAACTGTATATATATGGAACTGCTTGTATATGGAACTGCTTGTATATGGAACTGCTTGTATATGGAACTGCTTGTATATGGAACTGCTTGTATATGGAACTGCTTGTATATGGAACTGCTTGTATATGGAACTGCTTATAGATGGAACTGCTTGTATATGGAACTGCTTGTATATGGAACTGCTTGTATATGGAACTGCTTGTATATGGAACTGCTTGTATATGGAACTGCTTATAGATGGAACTGCTTATAGATGGAACTGCTTGTATATGGAACTGCTTATATCTGGCTCCGTCTCCTCCCTCAACGACGCTGTCTGCCCGGACGCGGGGTGCCGCTCCGACCTGGCATTCGGGTCCCGTCTGCTGAGCCGCTGGGACGGTGTATCTTTTTTTTTACAGTGACGTCATCCCGTCCTCAGATGCCCTGCGGTTCTTCACGGACGCAGCCCCGTCCGTGGGTTTTGGGGGTCTCTTCCAGGTCCAGTGGTTCGCCGGGCCCTGGCCCGACGCCTTCCCTCAAAGCATCTCCTCCGCGCTCCCGATAAACCTTCCAATGTCATCCGTCTGTTTCAGAGCCCAACTCAAGTCCGTACTGCTGCTTGTAACCTGTCTCCCCATCTCTACACAGCCCACTCCTTCGGATAGGCGCCGCCACGCGCGCCGCGTCCCTTGGGCTCCCCCTATTCCGCCCTCCAGCAGCTGGGCCGCTGGTCATCATCGGCCCTCTCCTCATACATCAGGCCTGACACTTCGACCATCCTGGCAGCCCAGCGCCTCTTTGCATCTCCATAAAACACTTGCAAACTTCCTGGTGGCGGCAGCAGCTGAGTATCCGCAAGCATGGTCGCAGCAGCTGAGTATCCGCAAGCATGGTCGCAGCAGCTGAGTATCCGCAAGCATGGTCGCAGCAGCTGAGTATCCGCAAGCAATGGTCGCAGCAGCTGAGTATCCGCAAGCAATGGTCGCCCGCAGAGACTGTTCGGCAGAGACTGTTCGGCAGAGACTGTTCGGCAGAGACTGTTCGGCAGAGACTGTTCGGCAGAGACTGTTCGGCAGAGACTGTTCGGCAGAGACTGTTCGGCAGAGACTGTTCGGCAGAGACTGTTCGGCAGAGACTGTTCGGCAGAGACTGTTCGGCAGAGACTGTTCGGCAGAGACTGCTCGGCAGAGACTGCTCGGCAGAGACTGCTCGGCAGAGACTGCTCGGCAGAGACTGCTCGGCAGAGACTGCTCGGCAGAGACTGCTCGGCAGAGACTGCTCGGCAGAGACTGCTCGGCAGAGGATCTGCAAGTTTGGTCACAATAGATAGCGGTCACAGCATATAGTGATAGCGGTCACAGTATATAGCAAAAAATGGTAGCGCGCGATGGTCGCGACTCGTCAGCATATAGCGATAGCGGTCACAGTATATAGCGATAGCGGTCACAGTATATAGCGATAGCGGTCACAGTATATAGCGATAGCGGTCACAGTATATAGCGATAGCGGTCACAGCATAGAGTAGTCTCGACGTCTGTCCCCTTCAAACCAGCCTGCAAAACTCCATCAACTCACAACCTTTTTGGGGATTGGCATGCTCCATCGCAGAGCCCCTCCGATCTGAAGGCCGCACCGGGGCCTAGGGCGCCAAACCTCCTCCCAATAAATACTCAAAAGCTTCTTGTTTCACGTCTCTCCAAATTGAAATGCAGCCAGCGTAAGTTCAATTTGGTAGACGTCAGCCAAAGGTAACCCCTCCAGGCCGGTTCTCATCCCCAGCCTATCGCACGGCAAACGCCCCCTTCCAATCACCGGTCCAGCCAGGCAAGCTGCTTAAAAGCGGAGGAACTCCCATTCTCGGCCTCTTGAAGCTGCAGCCACCGCCTCCCCTCCTCCTCCTCTTCACCCTGCTTCATTCTGCCTTCAATCTGCTTCCCGCTGCCAAATGCCGCCACCAGTGCCTAGGTCCCGGGGGATTGGCATGCTCCATCGCAGAGCCCCTCCGATCTGAAGGCCGCACCGGGGCCTAGGGCGCCAAACCTCCTCCCAATAAATACTCAAAAGCTTCTTGTTTCACGTCTCTCCAAATTGAACTGTAATTAACCCCTAATAAAAACCCATTAGCCAATATGATATTATGTTACAAAATGACACAATTTCTTTTCGATATTTACAATACAAAAAACTTAAACTTCCCTTCTTATTTGTGTAAAGGTTTATAATATTAATGGAACTATGTTAACTATTTATAATCACTTAAATAGATAATAAACGGTGTAGATTTGTTTCAAGGTTCAGATTTGTTAAATTTTTTTTTGTTGTTTGTTTTATGTTTTATGCTTTACACAATAAAATGTGTAATTTTTAAAAATTCAAAACTGAGTTATGTGAGTTATTAAATCAACATCCAACCAAATTCTAATAGTTTGAAATATTTGTATTTAATTGGTATTTTTGTATTTATTTATTTATTTATTTGTTCCTTTCACGAAAATGCTTTGTTCACAATCTTAGTTAAAAAATATCTCTTTATAATTAAGTTATTTTCCTGAATGTGAAGTCTTCACATCATTTATACATTTTCTGTGTAAAATGTAGGCCACAGAACACCACTGTTAAATGAGATGTTTAAAGATTGATCCAAAAGGTTTTAATGAACTCTGAATAGAAACTGTCTCTGTATCTGGATGTTAGCTCTGGTCATTATAGTGAGTCCATAGCTTCAGCTCCCTTTAACTGGTAATCCCTGTTTGCTGCCCACACCTCAACTAAACCATATTGTAATATACTGTGTATACTTTATTTGTGTTAAATATCCTCTGTGTACTAGTTAAAGGAGCTACATTATCTGCTGATATCATGACGTCTAATGGTTTGTTTTTGGGGCAGAAAATGGAGATGACAGTAGCAGCGACGAGTCCACCCCAAGTCCAGCTAATGAGGGCAAGTAAGTACAAGCACTTTACAGCTCCTCTGCTGTTTGAGAATACTCTTTATTCTTGAACACAACTTAAACAGACTCTTTCTTTTAGTACTCTTGCAGCGGATTTAATGAAGTTGTGCGGTGAAACTAAGCCAAGGAAGGTAAGAAAACTCCCAAATATCAAGGAACACTCAGATAATAGACCTTTTCTGAACAAAAGTTTAAATTGAAGCTATTTTCATATATTATGGACCTGATGTCCATAATATTTATGTTACAATTTTCAAGCAGATTATCCAATCAAAGAGCAGAATGGGTTTTTCGTTTGGGTTGCCAGTTTTTTAATTTAGCTAGTCTTTTCTTCTTTTTATAATAACAAAATGTACATACAAATTTACCATAAAAAAATGGTACCACACATATTTAAATGAAAGTGGTACAGAAATAAGTAGGCATACGTAATACACAATATACAAAAGTTTGTACTGTTTCTAGCTAAAGCAGATGGTTTACATCAGTAATTGGTGTTTATGAGTAAAGAGTGTGCCACAGGCAGGCCGACTCTGGCAACAAAAGTGTAATTGTACATACTTTATAAGACCACGTCCAGTGCACATTACACAAGGTCCATTTGAATAAATATGTTTCCATTTACAAATCATTGCGTGCCACCTTGTTGCAGGCACGGCGGCGGACTACCACTCAAATGGAGCTACTTTATGCTAGCACGGGGGACGGCTTCTGTGATTTGCCCACCGGAGACTTCCCCGGACCACTTCTGCCTCTGACCGAGATGGTGGAGGGGGCCACGGACCCCCATACTCAGGCAACAGGCCAGACCCCCGACAGAGAGCAGCAGGTGTCCCAGTGTGGAGCCTCAAACAGGAGCGCTGCCATGTGAGTCCAGCACTATCATTTACTCATTCCACTTGGTCCCATTGAACTGGACTGTGGTGCAGTGTGGGCTAATGACTTTTGAGAGCTCTGGACTTACCACATAAGTGCATACTGGTTTAGCAATCGCCTCAAAATATTCTGTTTTTGTTTAATAACCACAGATGCAAAATATAGACTTCAAACAAACTTTCCACTATGAGGATGATAGATGCGTTGGTACTGCCGACATACAGTATATGAAAAACATGACATGGTGTGGCCTTCTTCCCACTTATACGTATCGATTTTTGACTCATCATGAGACTTACTGTGGCTTGTGTTTCAATACCTTTGGTCCTGAATGTTTTATATGTCCACAGTGGAGGGTGCAGGTCTCCCACAGGCGCAGACAGAAGGCAGGTGGAGCGCTCTCCCATGAGTCGCCGTAGGGTCCAGGAGAAAGTGTCCATAACACCTCTAAGTGTGGCTCAACATGCGGCCAACAACGGTGGAACTGAGAGCAAGGGCAAAGACCACAGAGCACTGTGAGTTCAACCTGCTGCACGTTCAGTTCACAAATGGTGCTCTTTGCTTGAGTCAAACTTAGCGTTTGCTGCTTTTCAGGTCGGACGAGTCTCCCGTGTTTGAAGGACACAGGTGCGCATCATTTCTCTGAGATTTTCATTTTAAATTCCATTTTGATTTTCATTATAAACTCCATTTTAAATTCGGCCCACAAGAAAACAAATTGAGACCCCTAAAATGATTTTCAATTATTATTATTTTTCACATGCAGAATTATACATTTTCTTAAGAAAACAACCAAATTTAATTTATTTAAACATTTTAATCCAACACATCATAATAATATTATGGATGTAACATGACCGACCACCGAGCCTCATTAACCGGTTGAAACCGGTTAACCGCATAGTTTGAAATATTCCACGTTCTTTGAAATAACAGCCATTCAGAGCCGCTTACTGTTCATAAGAGCAGCTGAGCGTTCTACTGGATCAGAGCCGAGACAGCGGCGCCAAAATCCGCAACAGCTTCGGCACCTTTACGCACAGAAAACTGCTTTTTAAATCTTCCTATTCTTCTGTGCTGCGGGTTAAAGCTTTTTAGCCTCAAAAGACGGCTGGTTCACATGGTCAGAGCAGCGAGTGACAAGCCACGTCTCGCAGGTCTCCGCTAAAGTTTAAATACAAGTGATGTCTGTGGAGCTGATGCCAAGGACCAGCAGCACAAACATGTTTTCCCATGTGGTTTGACTGAAGCCGCATATTCGCGAGGATCCTTTGGGCTGTGTAACACAGACGAGCGGGACAGACCGGTATGTGTGTGTGTGTGTGTGTAAATGTATGCTTCAATGTAGGTCTGACCTGCACCAGTGTGCAACTTTGGCGGACTAGTCACAGAGGGGAGAGATGATGCGTGTGGGTGTTACGTATGAATGGAAGGGGGGGAAAGTGTGTGTGTGTGCATATGTGGCGCGTGCGGCATGAAAGTCGGCCCGGAGTTCACTAATACATTGGCGCACACAGCTAGAGACTGACCTGCTCGTCACACCGTGCAAATAGGGCTTAAAATAGTGGGTTTTTTTCCCTTTTCTTTTTTTAACCGACAGCTTTCACCGGTTAAAGCTGTGACGGTCAACCACCGGTTAAACGGTCACTGATTTACTTCCCTAAATAATACTCAAGTCAAAAAAAGGATATGGAAACAGGAAAACAAAGCAGACAGAGGCACACAACAAGAAAGACAAAGTGGAACAATAGAATACAACGCGTGAAGTTTAAAACTAGCAGTTGGAGGCAGTTCAGTAAAAGTTGGAGGCAGTTCAGTAAAAGGGGATACTGATGGTGCTAGCCTTATTATTATCAACATAACAAATAAAGGCTTGACAAATCTCATTCCGTGTTTAATGAGTCTGTCAGACATTAGATTCACATTGTAAGTAGAATTACAGAATGAAATGGTCTGAGTTTCCCCTGTGTATGTGTTGGCTCAGCTCCCTCCACGTTACAACAGTATAGTCTAATGACGGTACATTTGTGTTACAGAGGCGTGGTGAACCCGTTCCCCTCTCAGAAGAACCCCCGCGGAGCCAAACTGCAGTGTGTGTACGTGGCAGAGGGTCACACTAAACCAGTGCTCTGTGTGGACGCCACTGACGACCTGCTGTTCACCGGATCCAAAGGTAAGACTCACAAGGGGGCGCTAGGAATATCTGATGAGCTATCAGTAAAAACAAATGGTCATTAAATGGTCAAATGTTCTGTCCGACTGCTCAAATAGCCATAATGAGAAAGTGTGTTGTTTTTGCGGTGCATCCATATTTACGATACTTTGAGGGATTTTAGTTTTGTGAGGCTGCATAGTCAGGGACCATGGGTAATATTTCAAATGACATCTACATCTCATATACAGTAAGTGTCGTCAGACAATAAGTCAACATTTACACATATTGTTTGACCTGTTCTGAACAAAGCTTAAAGTGGAGTTAATGAAAATGCAAAGGATATGATGTCAATGAGATTTATGTTTACAAATGATCCAATCAGAGAGCACAATGAGACTCATTTGGTTTTTGCTGGTCTTGATGGTCTATCAGAAAATAGCACAACACATCTGTTTGAATGAAAGCAGATACAAAGGTAAGTTGTCATATGTAAAACACACACTGTGTACTGTTTCTAGCTAAACCCCAGCAGGTGGTTTGCATCAGCTATCAGCGCTCAGGAGCTGATTAGAGAGTGTCACAGGCAGGAACAAAAAAACAAAAAACAAAAACAACATTGTCATCACAACATATGATGTCTGTATCTTTTTAGAAGCTTTTGCATACTTCTAACAAAGGCTGAGAGCTGATGGTCCTCTCTTTTTCACTTTTCTGTCTGAAAAAAGTTGATTTAAGATACGTTAGAGGCCAAATCAATTAATAAATGTGAAACCTTGTGATAGAGCCAAAATGGGGCTGACAGTTAGTAATTTTGTTCTGTTTTTTACAGATCGAACGTGCAAAGTGTGGAACCTGGTGACGGGACAGGAGATCATGTCTTTGGGAGAGCACCCCAGCAGTGTTGTTTCTCTCAAGTAAGTATGGACACATTTGTAGTCTAATTATTAAATTATTATTATTATTTTATGATAATTTTATTGTGTTTTTGCATACAGATACTCCTCAAGCATGGTCTTCACGGTGTCCACGTCCTTCATCAAAGTGTGGGACATTAGAGACTCGGCCAAGTGTATCCGCACGCTCACGTAAGGACATTTTTACAGATTTGTACATGCTGTTTTTGAATTTAGTTTTAAGACAAATTATTATTTGATGATAGAGACAGTGGCTCTGTTTTAACAGAGGGCCGGTGTTCTTTAAAGTTATAGTTATTCTTCAAATTGATGAAAAGACGTTTTTCGGATACAAGCGCCGGTTAGACCCTGAACTGGACGCAATGAATTCAAATCCCTGATTGACAGCTGAGGCCTCTTCCCCATTGGTGAGAGAAAACTAGGGCAAAAGAAAAAGACAATTCTCTGCTCTTTTACAATTGTCCTAAAATCATTAGTACACATTCATTTGTTGTTTGTTGTAGTGTGTTCACCTATATTTGTCTCACAAGGGGGAGTTTTCAGAGTTGTATCATCAGTCACAGAATGAGTAGCACACAGCACAATATAAATGAACAATAACTCTATACAAAATAAAATAAAATAAAATCTCTAACTCAAAAGCATGAAGAAGAAACAAGTATAGCATCTTAATCTTTAGCATAATGATCACAAATTTCTGACTTTAGCATAATAAAGAATTATAAAATCCCTACCTTTGGCATAATAAAGCCTAGTGTATACTCGCGCGGCGCGGAGCTTACGGAGGTGACGTGACGTCACTTGCGCAACGCGTTGGTCACCGCAAGGCCCTTACGTTGCCTGCCGCGCAGCATCAACATTTTCTAACTACGTAAGGGTCGCCGCAAGGAATCTCTGCTGTGATTGGTCCGTGTGTGTGTATTGGAAGGAAGCATGAAGCGGCTGCAGCAGGGACATGGACGAGGCACTATGGAGCAGAGAGATTTGTGCTTTGAAGGAAACAAAGGAAAAGTAGTTTGGGCTCATGGCAGAGTCTGATATACAGGAGACTGTGGACTAGAGTTCTGTTGCATATCTAACATATATATAACTTATAAACTGTGCAGTCGTTTCTTTTGCACTGTTCCTGTCTTTGTATGAATCGTAGCTTATGGCGTCTGTTGCATTCCTCCTGCACTTATAAATTGTTCATGTTTGCCTCAGATATTTACCACTTATTGTTTTGCTGTTTGTGCTGAATACAATTTAATAATAACTGTTTCCAACAAGAACTGTGTCTTTATTCACAACATCACAGTTAAATGAGTTAAGAAATAATGAGTCCATAGAACTATCACATAAACCTACAGTAGAAACACATGTAATGATCTCAAACAGCTCAGTTTGTTCATGTTTTTGTTCTGAAGAGGAGAAAGTAGCAGCGTAAATGAGAGCGCTTTGTTATCTCAAGCAACTCCTGTGAGATCGCCATCATGTGGTTGGTTGTGGGATTACAACATTCTCCTCCAAACTCCGCAAGGAGTATAAATTAAATTGTGCTTGCAAAGGTCCGCGCAAGTATAAACGAGGCTTAAGAAGCAAGTATAAAGTACTGTGCATTCTAGTGCAAGTAGTATATAGTTGTATGTTTACATCTGTTTCATGTTAGCAGCCTGAGAGTATATGGGACAGAGTGACTAAGTAGAGCAACAGTGGACACATGTTCTATATACCCAAGTGGAATACAAATCAGGTCTGGTCCATTGGACTTGGGGTCTGGATGTTACTGGGCCTCAGCTCCATCTTGGCCTGTATAGATTGTGTTGTAATTGCTGTTCGGCACGCTGTAATTGCGGGCGGCACGGTGGCTGCGTGGATAGCACTCTGGCGTCTCAGCAAGAAGGTCCTGAAGGTTCGAATCCCGGTTGGAACAGGGCCTTTCTGAGTGGAGTTTGCATGTTCTCCCCGTGTCTGCGTAGGTTTCCTCCGGGTGCTCCGGTTTTCCCTACCACTAAAAACATGTACAATAGGTATGAATGTAATTGAGTGAGTGAATGGTTGGTGTTGATTGGGGCTGATGCGCCAGTGTGTTCGGCGACTCGCTTCCGTCGTCACCGTGTGTGGAATGATTGGAACAATATTTGAACTCTGAACATTGTAAAATGCACTATATAAATCAGTGGTGTCAAACCGGTCCTCAAAGGGCCGGTGTGGCTGCAGGTTTTAGTTCCAACCTTACCAGGAGAACACCAGACTCCACCCATTTCCTCAGGTGAGACCATTTTTCACCTTAAGATTTGAGGAAATGGGTGGAGTCTGGTGTTCTCCTGGTAAGGTTGGAACTAAAACCTGCAGCCACACCGGCCCTTTCTGGAACCGGTTTGACACCCCTGATATAAATAAACATGACTTACTTACTTACTACTTACTGTTGTGCCGGCAGGTCTTCGGGCCAGGTCAGTTCAGGAGACAGCTGTGCCTCTCTGCGCTCCCTGTCCATCCCTCCTGGAGAGAGCCAAATCCACCAGATCGCCCTGAACCTGGCTGGCACCTTCCTCTACGCTGCTGCTGCCAATGCGGTCCGCATGTGGGACCTTCGCAAGTACGTACACCCTGCTGCTCCTTCACACAACACCAGAATACAAGAATACAAACCTGTTGTGTGTGTGTGTGTTTATATGTGTGTGTCGCTGGTGTTGTTAGATTTGCGTCCACTGGGAAGCTCACGGGACATCTGGGGCCGGTCATGTGTCTAACTGTGGAGAGACTGGGGAATGGACAAGACGTGGTGCTCACTGGCTCCAAGGATCACCACATCAAGGTAGCTCAGAATACATTACACTTGTATCGTATTAAAACTGGTGAACCACAGCAAGTCTTTTTTCAGTAACATTTTGTGAGCAATTCAGGCCACAAGATGCTTTCTGTCTTGTTTCTGACAAGTCCTTCATAAACGGAGAGTCAGAGTGGTCGTCTTCTTTCTCTTTTCTGTCTGAAATAGGATTATATAGTTTCAAAATCAGATTCTCCAGCTTCAGGAATATTTTACTAAATATTGTTTTTAATATTATATTTGAGAGCGCTATTTCCTGGTTGTTAAAACAGTTTTCATGTATCCATAAAAGTAATTAAGCAAAGTAAAGTATTATGATTAAGAGTTTAGTCACCAGCAGGCCAAAGTGGTGCCTTTGTGTGTGTTAATGAAAATAATAAGGAAAAGACATAGTAAAAACATTTCAATAATTCTCATGCCTCGTGTACGTTTGCATACGCAAAAATCATTACATTTCTAAACACAAATAAAACAGAATTCATGCTCCATGACTAAAAATGGGACATGATCAACAGATAAACAAATGTTTAACACAACAGTTGAATGATAATATTTGAATTTACTTAATTCAGGATAAAATGCACTGCCCACTGCTGTTGGGACAAGAGAAATTTGTAGCGTCTTGTTTTGTATTTTATGGCTCTAAAACGTATGTTCGATGGTAAGAGATTGAATTCAGAAAGTGGCATGTTTTACCCACTCTGATGGTAAAGCTGCCCATTCTAATTGAGAAAAAGCCTCCAGTTCTTGTAAATTCCTGGGTCACCTTGCATGAACTGCATGATTGAGATCTCCCCAGAGCAGTTTAATGAAGTCATCATTAGAAAACAAAAACTCTTCACATAATCACTAATCTACAAAAGATGGCAAAAGCAGTAACATTTCTGGCTGGGTGTAAACAAAACAGATAAAACATAAGGCATGTGTTGAACTGTGTGTGGCAGATGTTCGAGGTGGCGGAGGGGGCGCAGGGCAGCATCACGCCTGGCCACACCTTTGACCCCTCTCACCAGGACTCTGTGGAGGCTCTGACCGTGAGCGGAGACGTGTTCTACAGCAGCTCCAGAGACCACTCCATCCACAAGTGGGACATGAGCCGCAAACGCCTGCTGCAGGTCAGAATACACTCACTGAACTACTCGAGCATTCTCTTCTAAATATTTCATCTGCTATAAAGACAGTGTTATTTTTTCTCATTTTAAGAGTTCAGTAAATAACACTTTCCACTTTTTCACTGGCTTTTTCACTTTAGATAGATAGATAGATAGATACTTTATTGATCCCTGTAGGAGAACTTCAGGTGTCCTGCTGAAACACATCCATCCATACAAACATAGAAAATACATAATTCTAAACGTTACTAACAATTGTAATGAAGTCAAAATGTGTTTCTATTTTTGAGAAACATTTGGAGTGTACCATGCCTTCTACATAGATAACTAAAACATCCTGTTGCTGTAGCCATTATCCATCCATCCATTTTCTTCCCCTTAATCCATTTCTGGGTCGGGGGGTGGGGGGTGGGTGGTATGAGTCATATTGGCATAATTCTTTAGTGAAAGAAGGACACAGTTTCAGAAAGAGCTGATCTAAAAAGCCCAAAAAAGGCCCAAAAAATCCATGCATGAAAACTGATTTGAGTGGTTTGAAATGTAAGAGGGGTCCAGGTCCGACTCCTGGGCCAAGAACAGATTCATGTGTGGTCTCATGTGTCCACAGTCGGTCAGTGGGCCGTCAGACTGGGCTGGAGCTCTGGGGCTGGTGCCTGGAACCTCGGTGCTGCTGAGTGGCTGCAGAGGAGGACTGCTGCGCCTGTGGCACGCTCACTCACTAGCGCCTCTTGGAGAGCTCCAGGGACATGACAGTCCTATCAACGGACTGGCTACCAACAGCAGCCAGGTGTTCACCGCCTCAGAGTGAGTCACTTTGGAAATGTGGAATGTTCTCTGTTTGTTTAAACATTAATATCATGATGGTTTCAACATACAGATAAACGAGACCAAATTAGATGATTCTAGATTTAAAAAAAAAAACATTCATTCCGGTTATGAAAATGCATTGGAGCAAGACAATATGGTAGAAAATACATAAATGTTTTCCTTGATATTTAAATCACCTAATAATAAAAATGGTTTCTGAAACTTCAATGGAAGAATAGTTAACCCTTAAAGTTGATTCACTTGTGTTTAATTTAGAAAATAATACATATATGTTTAATGTATATCCTGTAGTATCATCTATATGAAGTATTTTAAAAATTATATATAAAACAGTTGTTAGGGAAGTTTCTACCCAATGAAGGAGAAAACTCAAAGGTCTTTGTCTGATCAAAAGCGTAAGTTTATTGTTAACATACGTACGGAGAGTCAGCACATACACAAGGCAGCATGTACTAGCTCTGGGGGCCAGAGCCCCGAGCTTCCTGTATACAAGACACACACGAAAGCCAGTCCCGCCCACAACAGATGGGAGGGGGGCCACCGGTGCAGGAGGCGCATAGGGATGCAAACAGACTGCAGGATGTAGGAAGTGCACACATACAGACCGATACATATGCAAGAGGTGAAAGGGGGCAAGAGTGATCGCCATTGTCTGTAGGTGTCGGGGGGGGCCCGGCTCCTTCCTGGCAGCAGGGACATATGGATAGAAGCAGGCATACAGATTCAAGATACGAAAGACACAAGGGTGTGACAGACAGCAGGGGGCCCTCACAAAGCTCAGCATGGCGTCAGAAGGGCGTCTCTGCATTGATAAAAGGCCTTTGACGTCCGTGTATTTGCTGCGGCTGGTTTTATGTAATTACTCCAAAAACTGTCACCACACTCCCCTCTTTTGATAATTCAAAACCATTTTTGCATTAATCAGTTAAATACCAGAGGCATCGTAATCACACCACCTTCAAGCTTGAAACACTTAAATTATTGCTGTCCAAAGTGGACAAGAAAAGAAACATGCTTGTCAATAAAAGAAAGAGCACATTATAATAACACAATGGTTCGGACAGCGATAAGAGAAGACAATATTAACATAATAAACACGGTCAGCACGGAAAGTAGTGTCAGTGTGGCCAGCATAACAGTCCAAGGGCCCATGCCGGTCTTAGCCGGGCTACGTTCGGTAGTCTTTTCCGCGGGAATACTCACGAGCAGTGCCGTCTCGCAGTCAGTGGCACCGCTCCCTATGAGCGTGTGTGGAGCGTTAGTGGTCATGGCGATGTTTGGTCTTGGAGCGGCAAGACTCTATTTGCGTTGAAGCCTTGGCCTCAGCACTCGGTTGGGCAGAGTGCTCGGGATTTGGGGTGTGGCCTTGGGGTCCGGGGGGCTGGGGGAGTTGGGCAAAGGGGGGTTGCCTCGGCAACGCTGGGATCCTCTGGGTGTTATTGTTGGCCTGCTTCACCGATGGTGGCCGCACGCCGGCCAACCTCTTCAGCGTAGGGAGCCGCGGATGGGCCTGGTCCGTCCGCGCCCTCGGTGTCCTCGTCTATGGCCCTCAGTGGCAGCCCGCACGACAGTGGTTGGCGTGGATCCAAGTTGTCCTCTCCGCGACCTTAACGGCAGTGTCCGTCACCAGGAGGGCGAGGAATGGGCCGAGCCAGCGCTTGGACCGCCAATGCTTTCGTCTCGTTTCCTTCATCAGGACCCAGTCGCCTGCGCAGCCTGTGGCAGGGCGCTCCTGACCTGGGCAGAAATAGAGGACAAAAGTGCATTAATTTCCTACAATAGGACAGCATGTCGTCATCACACAAAGAGGTGCTTGGCAGATCTCTGTTCGGGGGTCCCGCGCCCAACGTGGGGCTAGCGGCAGAGCTTTGAGTGCCATTCTCTCGCTCGCACGTGCCTCCGGACCAGGGGGCGTAACTGCAGTGTTTACGTATATCAATGCCCAGAAATTCACCCACTTCCTCAATGACTTTTGCTACAAAGTGACTCACCACCGCGTTGCTCGTGGCGTGTATGCCTGCAAATACTTCAGTCCATTTGGACCAGAGATCCGCCAGACCCAGACAGTATTACTTACCTTGGCATGGTGTGAGTTCAACAAAGTCCCTTTGGACATGTTGAAATGGGCGCAGGGGCGGAGGATGAGCAGCCTGTTGGATACTTTTGGGACTTACCTGGGTTGTGCGCGGGGCATATAGCGCATGTTTGGCTGAATCTCTGTGCAAATGCCGTAAACCCCTTTGTATACCAATTTTGTGTGATTAAATCACACATCATCCCTCCTTTTGAGGCATGGTCTCGACCATGTGCTAAAATTGCAAACTGTCTGAAGAAATGCCGTGGTAAGCACGGTTTGCTGTCTGGTCCCAGCCACACACACCATGCCGTCGTTGAGCCCCATTCCCCTCCCACAGCAGCGTCTCTGCTGGAGTAGAAAATATCAACGTCTTGAGTGAGGTAGTGTGTGTGTGTGTGTAGAGGTGCGTATGCCGCTGCCTTGTCCGCACGCCGATTCCCTGCAGAGATGGGATCAGTGGCATTAGTGTGGGCCTGGCATTTGCATACAGCGATCTCTAAGGGCAACATTACAGCTTTCAGCAGACGTTCAACCTGTGTGGAATTAAGAATTGGTTTACCATCAGATTTCATAAAATTGCGGTGTTTCCACAGTGCTTCCCAGTCGTGCACCACAGAGAAACCATAGCGCGTATCACAGAATATGTTAACAGTTTTGCCCGCTGCCAGCTCACAAGCCCCGGTGGGCGCGACCAGCTCAGCGGTTTGTGCTGAGTGGTAGTGGGGCAAACTACCAGAGTCTATAGTATCAAAATCAGAACACACAGCATAGCCGACTCGGTTCTTCCCAGTGTTGTCACGTGACGCGGCTCCGTCTGTATAAAAAAAAATCAAGTCAGGATTAGTCAGAGGCACCTCTTTCAGGTCTGGCCTGGGAGTGCATCTCTGCTCTATTGTGGCGATACAGCAGTGTGCCTCCCCTTCCTCTGGCGTGGGCAGCAGCGAGGAGGGGTTCAGCTGTGTGCATCCCTTCACCGTAGTTCAAAGAGCACCGTGTTGTACCCCAGCCAACGAGCCGCAGAAAGGCGAGAGGCCCTCTGCTCTAACAGGATCAGGGAAACAGCATGGGGCACAAGCAAAGTTAGTTCAGTGTATCCCACAAGGTCACGTGATGCTAGGGCCGCTTTCTCAGCGGCAGCCACAGCCCGCAGGCAGCGAGGCAACCCTGCTGCCACGGGATCGAGTTTTGCTGAGAAGTAAGCAGTGGGTCTCAGTGGCCCTCCGTGAGGCTGCAAAAGTACCGACCATGTTCCACAGTCTTGAATTGGCCGGGTTGGGTCAGGGAGACCTAGTGTGTGTGTGTAGATTTACTGTTCGTTCTTTTGCTCCCGGATCGTCCTCAATTCATATTGTGGGCTTTTGTGCCAAAGTGGAGGCTCATTTCCTCCTGATCCATACTACTGTCATCCCTGGAGCAGGGGTAGTTTATCTCTCATCTGAAAAAGAAATATCAGAACACAAAAAAAAACACAAAAAATGCCCACTTTCGCTTGTCAATCTTTTTCCCAATTGGGCAAAACATAACTGCATTGACAGGTGGTGTGTGGCATCAGGGCGGAGGCTGTAGCCAAATACAGAACAACAAAATGTATGTTTCTAATTTTATACTCCCCTAAATGTGAGTTTACGAACCAAAGTTGTCCTCCGCCCAATGACCGCTCACTGCGGTTGGACCGAATCACTGTCAGGGCAAACAGCAGAGGGAGGAACTCCCAATATCTTCAGCGAGGTATTTCATCTCCGAGTACTTTCCGCAGAGTACTTTTCTCAGAGTACTCATCCCAGAGTACTCTCACTTTTACACCTGTTCAATAAAGGTCGTTATCTTTGAATCTCTAGTACTTACACCGTATGCTGTTGACAAAAAAGAATTATTCCATGATCACATTAAAACTTACAGACACATTTGTTATTCCATGATTCCGTTCAGCATTCCTCATTTCACTCCACACTCACATCACAGTCACATCACAGTCACATCACAGGCCGATTCCCCACGTTAGTATTGGTCCAGAGTTTGTTAAGGTCAACGTAGTGTACTTTGACATGACACACAAACATATAACATACACAAAACATATAACACACAAACATGTAACACACACAGAAGGCCTGTACTTTTAACTTTGTTATATTTTTCCATGTCCAATTCCAATTGTCTCATGAGCTATTTCTTATTGTTGCAACTTTCAGAGCCTGCAGAGCTTTAAAAGAGTTTTCCTAAAAGGATCCATTTCCAACTTTAGTGTTTACCACGTGGTCTATACTTCGGGCTTATCACAGATTGTGTCCCCTATATCTCTAATGAGCTCTTGTCACCTAAAAAAATGTTTACTTTCCTTATTTTTTTCTTTTTCAATAAAGCCAGGTCGGATTCATTAAAAATGTAAATTAGTCTCAAACTTTAATACTTCACCTTTGTTTCACGATAAAAATGTTTTTGTTACTCATTAAGTAGCACAGATAGTGGTGCCTATCTCAATAAACGTACTCCGTTAGCCTATCTTCCCTACACTGCATGAATTTTCAAACTCCAAGTTATTGTCTGGGAACGACCGGAGAGAGCAGCTTAGGTCGTTCGCGTGGTTGACCTCCAAGTTTTTTGCGGGCGTCACTATTCACTTGTTGTGGCTAATAACTTAGCAATCTCAGGGTTTGGTGTCAATTTCCAGTGGTAGTTAACTTTTGGGACCGGTGCCTCCTTTTATTTATCTATTTTTAATTGAGTCTGCACATAAGGTCTCGGCCTAGTAGGTTAACCGGGGACAATGGGGAATATAGAAAAGAATGTTTAAGCTGGTTGCCCTGAGAATCAAAACACGTTAGCGGTGACGTAAATTGCTCTTTAGTCGTCTCTCCGACGCTGCTAATTAGAATATGAAGCGGCCGCTCATTTTAGGGGAGACAGAAAGGCTGTCACTTTTAGCACAGAATTTGTTGCCCCGGAGTCATCCAGAATTTTAACTTGTACACCACAGATTGTTAGCGTATATTACGGGCATGAATTATCTCTAAAAAGTGCCAATTGCAATTTGTTGTTGTTCAACTTACATGAGCGGTCGCTTTGGTGACGAATGTGAACCCAGGTTTGGTCAGTCGCTCGTGTTTCCTCCGTGCCCGCCTCTGCCGTCCTCTGGCCCCGTGTGAGCCTCTGTCTTTAACGCCTCCTCCGGTAACAGTCCTTCGACCCATGTCGAGCACACAGTCTTTCCGCCGGGCTGTGGAAGTTTTTCAAAGTCCGCAGGAGGCCCAGGTAGCCCAAAGCGTTAGCATGTGGTCCATGAGGGTTGGTGAATGACCCAAGCGTGCCGGTCACAATGGCTTCTTCTGTTTGCGGTGCGGGAACAACTTTCAAGCGGGTTTCCGCGGGTGCGTTTGGTATATCACGCTGCCCCCTCCGTGGAGAACAGTCACGGGATTTGGAGCAGTTTCTCTCTGTGCTCCAGAGCAGTTGTCGGTGTCTCACATATTTGCTTCCCCCACTTCTTCTGTGGTTTCCTGAGCGTGTGTCTGTTTCCGCCTCTTCTTCTTCTGCGGTTTGGGCCCACTTCTCGCGGGGTCTCAGCTGGTGCGGGCGCCGCCTGTGGTTGGGGCGTGGGGCTGGTGCTTTGAGGCAGAGGACAGAGCGCGGAGGAAAGGCGCCGACAGACCTGGATAAGGGAGAGGGAAAAGAGACAACAGTAGTCTGCTTCATTTTTTAAAAACCCAACGCCTTGTTTGGGCGCGTACTTAGCATGGAGTTCTGCTCCTAGTGTGAAAGGGTTAGTAGGTGAGAGAGGGCGTGTGTGTGCGCCTGTGTGTTCTCCGCTTTGGTGAAAGGCGGAGGAGCTATTGTTTTTACATATTTCTTTCTCTAACCTCTTTTGCCGTGATATTCTTAAAACCAAGTATATTTTTTTTTTCTTCCCTTCTTCTTCTAAATTATCACGCAGATGACCTGCACCATAGGCAAGCACTTCATAGCTTGCATCTGTAGATTGATTTTTACCCATTTTCTCGTACGAACAATGGGCCTAACCCGCTTAGTCTCTCCCTGCTCTTACCCACTTTGGGGCGCTCCGTTCCCCCCCCCGCTGGTTCAACCAGCGAGCGCGCGTTCTTGAAAACGGAGCGGTTCTGGCTGAAGACACTCAGAGATTCCAGGGTCGCTTACAATGCGATACTAACGCGCAGCCGCTAGCTTCAATCTAGAACAAAAAGCCCCCCAAAAAATCCCGCACACAGACTATGCTGTGGCAATGAATGAAATACCCCAAAAATACATAAATAAACAAATCCCCGTGTACACTTAAGGGCTGCCCTGGGCTCGTTACGCAGATGAAAAGACAAGACTCACCAGATTAGGTTCTTTTTGGTCTTGTGTGGCAAAAGGATTCCTTCCGTGCGCGGGACGAGCGCGCCCTCCTTTGTCTCCAAAAAGGAACAGAGGCTGGTGATCCAGGTCGGCCAAACAAAGCCGCTCGTCCCCGCCGAAAGTATCCATGCCAAGACATGTCAGCAACGCCAAATTGTTAGGGAAGTTTCTACCCAATGAAGGAGAAAACTCAAAGGTCTTTGTCTGATCAAAAGCGTAAGTTTATTGTTAACATACGTACGGAGAGTCAGCACATACACAAGGCAGCATGTACTAGCTCTGGGGGCCAGAGCCCCGAGCTTCCTGTATACAAGACACACACGAAAGCCAGTCCCGCCCACAACAGATGGGAGGGGGGCCACCGGTGCAGGAGGCGCATAGGGATGCAAACAGACTGCAGGATGTAGGAAGTGCACACATACAGACCGATACATATGCAAGAGGTGAAAGGGGGCAAGAGTGATAGCCATTGTCTGTAGGTGTCGGGGGGGGCCCGGCTCCTTCCTGGCAGCAGGGACATATGGATAGGAGCAGGCATACCGATTCAAGATACGAAAGACACAAGGGTGTGACAGACAGCAGGGGGCCCTCACAAAGCTCAGCATGGCGTCAGAAGGGCGTCTCTGCATTGATAAAAGGCCTTTGACGTCCGTGTATTTGCTGCGGCTGGTTTTATGTAATTACTCCAAAAACTGTCACCACACAGTCTCCTCTACTTGGAAGATTTTCTGAAGAAGAAGAATAGTTAGAGCTGAGGGGCCTCAGTCTATTAGGGGTTTGAAGTGTTTGCGTCCAATCAGGGACTAATTTGTAGTTTACCTAACAAATATATATTTTTAAGTCCATAATTTGCCCTTTTTAATTCAAATGCAACTAGCAACTGTACATATTGTTCAATGTATGTTAATGTCAACCTATTTATGTGACATTTCTCCTTAAACTTTAATCGCTGTAGGAGTTGATAATTTTTACAAAATCACACTATAACTGTTTTATGTACAAGGTTGCTGATTAGATACCAGGGCCCTACGGTTTAACGTATAGAAAGCGATTTGAGGGACATTCGGGGTCCAGAACAAGTTTCTTTAATTTTAGTTTGCAAATTCACCGATAACCACTATAACAGGCTTCTACATTTTAACATTAATTTGTGTTTTCTTCTTCTCCTTCAGTGACCGCACAGTTCGGATTTGGGAAGCGAAAGGATCCCTGGACGATGGCCTGCACTGACCCCGGACTGTATAAGCACTGGCCCTCCTGGTCTCCTCTCAAACCCTCGAGAAACCACCTCAACACCACCAGGAGTTGTCCTTCCTTATTTTCTCACACATGCTCCTCCTGTGCACATGTGTGTGAGCTGCTGAGAGGAGGCCGCCTTTTTACTCCTCCTTCTGTAGTGAACATTGTTAAGTCTTATTTCAATGTCTTAAAATGCGTTAACGTTTAAAAATATAAACTTTTTTGCATTACTTGATTTCCTGACATCACTGTTCACAATCCACTTTATTTTACTTTTCTTTGACTGGATTTTTCCCATTTTCTCATCTTCAGACTCTAAGCTAATAAAAGTCAAGACTACTGCTACTAATGCGGCTACAACTACTGCTTCTACTACTACTACTGCTACTATTACTACAACAACGACTACTGCCATTACTACTAATACTACTGTTGCTCCTGCTTTTATTGCAACTGCTACTATTAGCATCACTACAGTTCAACAGCAGTAGCACTTCTACTACTAATAGTAGTATTACTGCTAATATACTCACTGCAACTGCTACTAGTACTTCTACTTCTGCTACAATTACTGCGTCTACTGCTGCCCTTGCTGCTGCGGCCACTACTACTACCACTACCACGACCACTACTGCACTGGATAGAGTAGTCTGAGTAATGTGAATGTTCTCCTAAGCACCTTGAATTTCACTTGGACAGAGTGTGTGTGTGTTTGTACAGTACTGTGATCCTCCATCGGAAACTATTTATTAATAACATTATTAGTCGATTGTTGCAGTTCACGCTTTCCTTTTTAACAAGGAGACCGATACTTTTGTCAGTGTTTGTGCATCATTCTGAACTGAGTGCCTATATCCATACCAAGTTCCTATAAAATGGCTTTTGTTCCTAATTTATGCAATGTGAGGACATCTTCAAATGGGCTAATTATACTGTAATCCCATGTGGCTAATTAGGTTTTTTTTTTTTTTTTTATTTGTTTAAGTCAATGCAGAGATGCTAATTTCAAACTCCATCTGAAACTGCTATACTAATGTCTAAAAAGATGGAGAAGTTACCAAAAGTTGCGTTACAATAGTGGCAAATGCTTGACTGAGATTTTATTCATCACAGTTCGTCCTCCAGCTCAATATAAGGAACGTTTCAAATCAAGGTGAACCCAATCTTTTAGAAATGCTGCTTTGGAAACTATTTCAACCTCCAAAGTGATGTGGGGCGTGGAAATTGCACTCAAATTGCACTATCCTCTTGTTTAAGGTTTCTCCTGTAAACTTTTCCTGTAATAATGAGAGTGTTGATCCGCTAAGTGACTGTTCCGAAGTGTTTGATTTATTTGAGTATTTTCTGCTGTTGTTTCTACTGTAAATCTACACTTGTGTAAATACAGCTGTTTGTCTGTGGGTCGATACAGTGTGAAGGCACGCTGGTCAATAAACCGCTTTTTTGAGTATTTTTGTGTCGTTTGTCATGCTCTATTTCTAAACATGCTTTTGTCTTTTGTGTGTAACTTGTCACAGACACGTTCCAGGGGCCGTCACACTCATTTTGGTGAGGGGCCGAAACTTGCATAGACTGATTTATTACCACAGTAGAAACTTTGAAAATTAGAATATTGTTCAAAAGTCCCTTTTATTTCTGTAATTCATTTTACAATGTGAAACAACAGACTCAGGCTTAGACACAATTTCAAGATTCAATATTCTATTTGCCAAGATGAAGTTTCCAAGTTTGCCTGATGAAGGTCTCAGGACCAAAACAAAGCATTTTCCGAATTTTTTTTTTTTTTTTTTTTGCAAGGACAGCAGTGTTTGGGAACCTTTATTGTATTCATGCGTCTGTGTTGTTGCATTTTAGTTAATTTTTATTTTATTTTGTCTGAAATATCTAGTACCTATATTTCTGACCAACTCTGTGATTGTGATGCAGCTCATGTCTCTTAGATCGAGTGATGCCATGTGTTCACTTTAAAACCTCATTCCAAATTTGATTACATGTTGAATTTAACATTTTAAATCTGATTTTTTTCTTACAATTAGTTTTTTTGTTAGGAGTATTTGCTAACTCTTCAAAAACTAAAACTCAAAAATGACATGTACAATATTTGAATGCACTGTACAATTTATATTTGGAAGATGTAATGGTGGACTTTGGGTTAGACGGTGGTTTGATCAGGTTTTGTAACACAATACTCCAAACTCCACATGTCAGTAAAACTTTATTGACAGTTATTCTGATTTTCAGACAGAAACCAAAGTTACATCAAAATAAAACTGATTAGCTCAAGTTGAAAACACAGCAGCCGTACACACTTGTACACACACCTGAGGCACGTATGCGGGGGAGGGGCCCATGCCACACTTATACAAACAGACAACGCATGTTCTACACAAAACACCTCACGACACCCACCACTCAGAGGGTCACTGACTGCGGACGACTCAACGTGCAATGGTCCAGCTGCAAACAAAGTCATCATGGAGGTGTCCGTTGTGATGGAAGTGAACGGACCTCAAGTTGGGCAAATGACTCAGAAAGGACAAGACATACGCAATATATGACCACTTTTTCATAATAATAATCATATTATTTTGGCCCTGTTTGAACTCTAGAATAGTTACTGTCATTTTGTGTTTTATAATGTGAAATAATATCTTTAAAAACATGGTGAGAAGTTGTTTTTTTAATGTTTTTACTTTGTCTAGATTTGAAAAATTAAATACAGCCATAACATTGTAAAGAAAATAATTTCACCAGAGGAATTATCCAAACTAATTCAGGGGCCATAAAATGCAGAAAACTGCTGAAAGGTTATAGTGGTAAATCACTGACAGGGCGCCTCACTGGAGCGGTGTTCCTGGCATGTCTCACCTTGTCCCTTTGTCCAATATCCAAAGCTACTGACCATATGTGAGGGTGGGAGCATAGACTGAGCGATGAATCGAGAGCTTTGACAGCAGATGCTGCTCCCTCATCACAGCCGTTCAATACAGCATAGTGATGATTTTAATCCCAGCCATTTAGAGGTTTGTTGAAGCCAACAGTACAACATCAACTGCAAACAGCAGATATAAATTCCTTCTTCCGGACCCCTTCAGGCCCCTGGCTGCGCCTAGAAATCTTGTCCATAAAAAACAGTGAACAGAACCGGTGACAAAGGTCAGCCTTGGAGGAGGCCAACATGCACCGGGAACAGGTCTGACTTACTGCAAATACAGCTCTTATTTGCAGGGACCGGACGGGCCTCAGAAGAGGACCCCGGAGCTCGGACACTCAGAGATCGCCCTCAAAGAACACCCTCGGGGAAAGCACATGTGCACAGGTTTGGTAGAGCTCTCATGATTATTTAATGGTTTATTTGAGTGGGACATTGCACACTAATCAAGTATTTGATGGAAGGTAAAGATTTATGTCCACCTCCATAAAATTCATAAAAATTTGTTTTAACAACAGAGAGGCTAATTTTTTATGAAAATTGTTTGTCTTTAATTCTTTAACATTGTTTGGACAAACAAAGTGAGTTTAGAGCATTGCTAAACTTGAGGTTGTCACTTTAGGTCTGCGACTCAAAGAAATTTAGAAAAACAGTGACTGCAAACTGATCATTTCACAACAGAGACACAACAAAACAAAAATGATGATTGCAAATATGAACATATATAAATACAGATGTTTTTAGAGCAGTTGAGGCATGACGTTTACACGGTACTGGAAGAAGATCACCGCTGGTGTTGCATATCAGTGAGACAGGTACAAATATGGCTTATCATACTGACATGGAATTTAGACAGAAAACCTTGAAATAATCATTTTGGTCCATTGTGACACAGTGACAAGGGCTAATACCTGAAAAGTGCTCCGTTGTGGCTCCGTCTAACAGAAAAGGTTTCTTTCTTAGTCCTGGAATACTTTAGTATTTAAAATTGGTTGCGTGATTGTAATGAGTAAGAAGACTAAAAAGATTGCTAAATCACAATGAGTTGCGGATGAAGGGGCTGCAATATATTTCCTCATAATGAGTACTATGGAAGCCCCTCCGTAACTCTGTCGTGGTATCAGATTTGTAAATGACCTCCTCAGATGAACACCCACCCAGACGCTGTCCCCTTGCAGTCAATGCAAGGAGCAGTAAAGGCTGAAGTACAGGAGCAACATTGTGGCGCAAAAACAGCATTCTCCTGAGCTATAGGGATGTTCCCCAATCGTGCACAGGTTAACTTAATGAGGACTTTTATTTTGACATGTTTTTAGGGGATTGATTGTTAAGGTTTCAAACTGGTCTTCAGTTGTACGACTCCCACTGTACATTTACCACAGCTTGTCAACTTCACTGCATAAACCTTCCAGGGGTGCATGGTACCCCCATGCAGAAAAGCAGTATGGTACTTGGGAAAGTAGCAAAGCTCCTACAAACTAAAGCATACAATAATGTGTTTTTTGATAAAGAAAATCCATGTTTTATTGCATTTCAAGTAAACAAAATTCCAATGTATTCTGAATGATGGTCTGTGTGGTCATCACGGAGCACTTTCAAAGGCTAACAGCTTTAGCACTAAAACCTCATTTAAACACATTTTTCATTCACAAAATTATTGCAATATGGCAGTCATAGATACAGCTCATGCATAACATTTAACAGTGAGCTTAAGAAATAAAAGCAAAAAGTGCACCACAGTTTAAAGAAGGCGATTGCGTCAACACTGGAAACCTGATGCGCACACACGCACACACACAATCACACGGTTTGAAAATGACCATAATATTGTTCATGTCAAAGAACGGTCACTTTGAAGAAACAGAAACAGGCATTATCTATTTACGAACATTTTTGATCACACTTATAATGATGGACAGCGTTGTACACAGCAAATATTAAACCATTTGTGTTTTTACAGCAGTTGTCCAGTGTTATTTAATAGCAGCCCAAGTGTTTAGTGAAAAGCTTTTGGGCAATATTAAAATAAAAGCAAGGAAGCTGTCATAACATTATTGTGAAATGTATACAGCACTGTAGAACCATTATAGAGGCTGAAGCTTATTAAAAGCTGGAGTACCCAAATAGAAAAAAAAAAAAAGTCTTGTGAAAGTTACATCAGATCTCAAAATGCTGTCTTTATCCTATTAGAAAAACGTCATATTTTGTACACTTTAAGAGCCACGAGTCACTATTTTACACTCTGGTTTCTGATTGAGAGTGCTCCTGATCTAAAAATGTGACCGAGGCCAAAAATCTAAAACTAGTTCTTGGACGAACTGTTGGGAGAGCAAAGTGGGTTTTATTACATATATTTTTTGTGGTGTTAGGTAGAGTTAGGAACCTCAGCTTTTGATGCATTTTTCAATCTTTCTACACTCAACGGTGGTACAATATGGTTGTGGCCAGAGCTGCCTTATATTGACAAATTAAGTCTTCAATCTAGAACAGAAGGCATCGTGCAAACTGGGATAATACAGGAGAATACAGCTGTCTCAACCACGCATGAATCATTACAAACTGGACATGGAAATGGTGGCGCAAATTATAAAAACAAAGTATTAATATAAATAGCAAAGCATTTACTGTACATGGCTCCTGTCTGCTTCTTCATGAGGACTGCTGGCATATATATAAATCTATAATCTCACAAAAACAGGTCCATGTCACCTGTCATTTACAAATGTCATGTTGTGTACATGGGATTATGGTATGGAATAACAGGAATTGAAACACACATTAAAACTGGGATGTGAAAAAGACGATGAGCCTTGAGTCTTTTTCACTTTTCCGTATGAAAAAGGCCAAAAATACATGCCAGGGAAACAGAACTAATAAAATGAACTTTATGACATCGTTACGTTCTTTGTGGTTTGAAATGTAGGTACCCCAGCTTTAAGAAATGTGTGGAGGGTCCATCAATGCAATTATAATTCAATAATGTCCCTGTATTTTTAAAGGGGCTTAGTGTAATATTGTGGAACATTTCAGATTTCAGACAACACTGTACAGCAACCCATGTTTCCATGACAACAGGGTTTTCTCCCCTTCAGATTCAGATTCATTTATTTGCCATTTGCAGTAAAACCACATTGGAAAAACTGTGCAAGACTACCCTGGTGTGCACCAGACGGCACACACCAGAGCTCTTGCCACGGCGCCATCTTTACGGCGCTATGGCCATGTCCCTAGAACAGGGTTTTGGGACAAACTGTTAACAAACTTGACTGTGTCTGTTGGCAGCTTCAGGCAGGGTTAGAAAAAAAAGGAGTATAAAATGTATGCACTAGGATCACTGTGGCTTTAAAGACAAGTTTTTTTGTTAACACAAAAATATATTGTATTCTTGAAATTGATGGACCCTCCAACTGAGTAAATGAAATGAAAGCACTGGAAGTTATAATGCATATAGACTACTGAAATGATCATACAGTAAATAGGATTGTTCTCTGCAGGAAACATGAGACAAACACGTATGCACACTGTTCACTAAGGGCATGCACTGTCAAAGCACCATGGACACCTACAGTCAGGGCGGGATGCTACTATCAACATATATTCATTTAAAATACACCTAAAAGTAGACTATGTGATAAAACTACTTTTGTTTTTTGTTGGCAGAAGATTAATGTCATGTGAATATAGAGAGTAAATATGTCTCAATAATACAAGTCAAACCCCAAAAGTCTGTATGTGGAAATAAAAGTGTAGGCTTATAGAGTTCAGTGAATATACAGGAGAATAAACATGGAGGCTGCCTCCTTGTCTCCACGGTGATGTAGTATGGCATTATTGTCCAACGAGGTTCATTTGGTCTTACTACAAGTTGATCTTTTTTTAAGACCAGAGTGTTTTTTTCTTCCTCAGAGTGGTCACGTGATGTTCCTGTTAGCTGTTTGTGATTCTGTCTTTGCTGTCTCTGAGACGGGACAGATGATGGCATATGAGCCATAACAAAACAGCAAAACAAAAGCAACTGAAATTGGCCACTGCAAAAGAGAGAACCACACTATGGATTGGGACGGAGCAAACATCAAGTGGGCTGAGAACAACAAACTCGATCAAAGAGGTGATAGAAAAACAGAAATGTGCCCCCTGGACTATAAACCGGGACACACCTGGGGCTGTTTCCTGAACAAGTGAGACTGCAGATGGCGCTGTCGTCCTGCCTGTGATAGTGGTAGTGGTGAAAGTCAGAGCCAAAAACTGAAAAACTATATAAAAAAACCCCAACATGTCACAGAAACATCAAGTGACCAGTCTGAGGGAGACCCGTGCCAGCCCTCCCAACTGTCAGGTACAAAAAATCCACTCTGGTTTAAAAAAATTATCAACTTGTAGTTTGTAGTGTGGCATTATTGAGACGCCACTCCAATAGAGACATGCAGTTACTGGGTCAGTCACAATCACTAATTTTGACATATGTTATATTACTTCTGTAAATGATTGCAATAAACAGTAATAACAAAAATACTTTATACCACTGGCATAAGTAAATAAGAGGCGAGCACAGTGAGAAAGCACGTGTTTAAGTCTGATGCCGGACTGTGGGACATTCCTGTCAAAGGAAGGTGGTGGAAACTACAGTAGGATATTGAGGAGAAGATTCCCAGGATTATGGTATGAACTATTGACGATACACATGACATTTGTTATTGTTGTGCCAAGGCGAGTGTGTGTGAAAGCAGTTGTTTAGGTATGTTTTATTTTTTTAAAGTAGTCATAATAAAATAAAAGAAGAATAGTACATAAATAAATACAAAAATACAAATGATAATAAAGATACAAAAATACATATTTTTAAACATAAATAAACACAAAAGAAATACGACCATCTCTATTGTTACTCATTGATATGTGGTGTAAAACCAGGTTAGCCAGAAATGACATTTGAATGAATGTCCCACAGTCTACTAGAAACACATCCTCAAGACAAGGAGTCAAGTCCTTCTATAAAGTTGTTAAGTTTTTGTCTTTGGAAAGAAATTGTGGAAAAAAGTTTAGCAAATATGCTGCATATTTGAAATAATCGTTATAATAACAGACAAAACAATAACCCAATGAGTTTATGCACTGCATTATATTGAAAAACTACATTTTACATTGCACATGGAACAGGGATGTCCAGCCAATTCCCACACTTTTAAGATATTAAATAGCTTAATTAGTAATAGAAATAATCTCAATAATGATAATAGTAAGTTTAAAGTGATTCAATAAAACAAACTGTCCACAATTTCATCTTGTGGCAAAGGAAACAGATGTTGAGTAACATACAACTGCACCACGACCTTCAATCATGATTACAAAAATAGAATGAAAGTAAGAACTTAAAGACCTTGAACACAAACATTGATTCCCTCCCCCCCCATGGGACACAAACCAGCACATAACAATGTATAAATATGGAAGCAGTGGCTGGACACTGGCCACTCATCAAAAAAGCGTCATCAAATTCATTCAATCTTCTTGATTTGATTATTGGGCAGTCCGCTCCTGCCCAAGAAAGAAAGAACTAAATCAAACTGAAAGTGGCTGGACTGGACGGGTAGAGAGAGAGTGGTTGGAGACTGACTTGAAGCGCTTCTGTGGAGGTTCAGTCGGAGAAGAGGCTCGCAAAGGACTGGCGCAGGCTGCGGATGGTCTCGGCTTTGGCCTCGTCGTCTGTGGGGTTTCCCTTCAGTGTGTCGGACAATGTGTTGGTCAGTGACTGGGATTTACTGTGGACACAACAGTCACCTTTGAGTCAATACACCATAAACCAAATAAGACAAAGTACACTAAGTCAAGCACACACTAACTTAATTTACTTTTGAATGTGGAGGAAACACCAGCAAGTCCTAGGTATCGTCATCTTTTTTGTGCTTTACAATTGTGCTGTTACTTTATTACTATTGTTAGTAACTTTTAGAATGATGTATCTATTTGATTGTGATGCATGTGGTTCTGGTGCTGGACACTAGAATTTCTCCTAAAATATCTATCTGTCTATTTGGGGTATTTGATGTGAATTTCTGATATTGGTTTTGTATTCAATCACATTATGTGCTTAATGTAGTGAAAATACATTACATCTGCTTAAGATTTAAACAACATCACACTTATTGGTTCATGCCGAGTTGGCCAGGAGGAGATATTCCATCTTTGATTATTTGGAATTTTACTGATTCACATGTGAAGAATAGGGAGTGGGCAACTTGAACGTGATGAGTCCCATAGCATTTTGATGTTACCAGTAAGCTAACAGGACATACAGTTGGTCTGTAATGGTTTACTACATGAATGTTTTATATCATTATATTATTTGATGATTCAAATTATAAGATAAGATAAACTTAATTGATCTTACAACGGAGAAATTTACATGTCACGTTTGGCATGGATAGAATCAGATTTGTCAAAAAGACAGAAGTGTGCAACATGTGAAATATAGTCTGTGCAGGATATACTGTATTATGTACAATAAAACATAGTTAGCAGTTTAGTAGTTCTGGTTTTTAGTCCTAGTGCAGGTCACTAGTGACTTAAAGTGAAAACTTCATTTTATTCAAAACAACCCTGGTCAATGAAAAGAGCAATATGAATAAGCAAATATACTCCTACTATACTTATTTATTTAGATTTGAACCAACCTCACAATGTATTGACAAAACTGAGAATCTTGTAACTGAATGTGCTAAAGTGGACCAGCTCTATTGGTCCTTGTATTGTGACTCACTTGAGCTGAGGGGACTGCTTCTGAACTCCAGGCCCCGGGACTGCAGGGATGGGCCCCGGTTGGAAGGCTTGGCTGGGGGAAGTGTTGGCAGAGCGGGCCCTCTGCGGAGAGGCCTGAGCAGACTGTGACGGAGAGGCTGAGGCCGACCGGTGTCCTCCTGAACACAATGATATACACATTAGAACACTTACCCAAGTCCATCTAACATATCAATAGACTCGGAAATATATGTTTTGTGTAAGGAATCAGCTCTCTCATGAGCTTTCACCCATTTGCATTTTGGGTTCAATGTTTAGAATTGGGCAATTAATGTGTTTCTTCATTGAAACAAAAAACCTTGACAAAACATGCCATGGTAGCCTGTGATCTTCTTACCATCAAAGAGGGAAGTTCAGAATCTTTCTGGGAGGGCATTGAAAATGGTCTAGCAGGCCTGATTAGTCTGTAGTTCGCCTGAGAAAATGACCTTTAAAGGTAGCATAACGACCTGATGGGAAGAAGCTATAGATATTTCTGACTTATTATTGATTGATATATCAGAATGTCTTTCCCATTGATGTACATATAAAAAACGTCCTTACCTCTTCTAGGCTGTGTGGCCTGAGGGAGCAGAAGTAAAATATATAGTTAGGAAGTGGAGGAGCATTGGTTTGATCACATAATATATGATACTACTGATTACATTGAATCTACATATAGCATAACTCTAATGCAGGTATGTCCAGCATTGTCTAGCTATTATGCTTATTTTTTTCAAAGCTATGTTTATCTGTAATAGACTTATGTAACGGGCTGGTGCTATGTGACTTGGGTGGCATCTCTGACTGCCACCCCCCCAACCCAGAAATGGATTAAGGGGTAGAAAATGGATGGATGGATGGATGGATGGAGACTTATGTAACACTGATAGAACATGATTTCTACAATAATTATCAACAATAGTTTTTAATTGCTCAACTCATAGAACTCATAATGGATGATTATGGAATGAGGTTGACCTTGACAGAGGAAGGCTGTGGAAGGGCCACTCCGAGCAACAACACCGCCATCTTGTGGAGGACGAGGTCAGTGATGAGTTGTTTGTCCTCTTCCACGTGCTCCCCAATAAGAGGCATTGAGCTGTCCATCACCTGAGCACACCAAAACAAAATATGATGAGATCTATACTCCTGCCATTATTACTAGTGTCACAATATAGAGTCATACATGCATTCACATTCATGAGGGTGAACAATGACACATAAGAAAAGAGAACCTTTGTTCGTCCCACAGTAGGGAGATTTTGACCCAGACTAAATATTTATAGTTTATTTGGTAGGGGCAGTGTATGTTAATGAACACACATCTCTGGATTATCATTCGACCTGAACTGTTAATAGATATGTTTTACGTGGTAAGGGAAAAAGGAGCACCCAGAGGAAACCTATGCAGACACAGGGAGAACATGCAAACTCCTGTCTGTTAGTGGAATCAAACCCAGGACCTTTTGGCTGTGAAGCACACAATATTGGTCAAAAGTTAATTTATTTCTATAATAGAAAATAAAAAGTTGACACATTACATGCAATGCAAAGTAACATAACTATATGGGTTTCTATAATCTATGTGTCAAGGCTTAGATGATATTTCTCAGTTTGTGTGTAATGACTTCAGTTTCACATTGTAAGATGAAACACAGAAGTAAATGGACTTTGGAACAATATCTACATTTTCTGAGTTTCACCTGTATTTAATAACTTAGATATGCACTGATACCCAGTAGTAGGTGCAGTGACGCAGAGTTGTGAGGTTGAGGCATTTGGGGCAACTTCAGGAGATGAAGAGATTAACCACAAGATGGCGCTACAAGATGGCTGAATATGCAGCCTGTGGTTGTGGCCTGTGGGACTGGTCCAAAGGTGAAGCACACAGTCACAGTTTCTCAGAGCAGACAGTTACATCATGTTCCCATGGTTGTGAGACGCAGGCACCTCACTAAACACTGTTTAAATACTCTTTATGGCCGGATGCACTCACTTCAAGAGCTGTTCCCATGCTTCAGCCTTCACTGAGGGAGAGCTCACGAGGAAGGCCCACTGAGTATGTATTGGTATATGTATAAATATGTATTCAACTCTAATGTTTGATCCCATTCACATTATCTAAAAATGTAGAAGCATTTTTTGTTATGTACTTATCATAGTTAAAACTAAGCCACTAATTGTTATACAATTGGTCATGTTAAATACCAATATTGAAAACTAAAATTCCCTCCATATCATAAAGACATTTCATTCTTTGGCCATAGTTTTGAAGTTATAACACACACTTTTTCACTATTCATCATTAGTGGTTGTGTGTGTTTGTCAAATACATGCATTTTCTATTTTCCCAATTATTATTATCAGTTAAACTTTAAACATAAACATTAGAGATCTCCCCATTCAAGGTAACCCAGGATTTGACAGTAACTGGGGGCTTTTCCCCTAAGAAGAATGGGCAGCTTTACTATCAGAGGATAAAGAACCTCATCCACATTTACCACAAAAGACTCCTAGCTGCTTGCACAGATGTTAAAGTGGTAATACATGGTATTGAGAGCTAGAGAATAGAGACTTTTAATCAGGATCAGATGTTCTGTTATTATTATTATCATTTGAAAATACATTGGTTGGACAATAAATGGCTTCACACACCCACTGTTTTCCCTTACTAACAATGAGGAAGAAAAAGTTTTTGTGTTGTAATATCTGAAATATGGTCATGTTAAATGACCGTATTTCAGATATTAGCACAACTGTATTTATAGTAGAGGGCAGTGAGTGTTGCCAAAAGGTCTTTAAACACCTGTGTCCCATTCCTGTGTCAACCAGTGATGAAAAGGAATAGTCAGAGTCTGATCGTTCAAGGCTATAGACTTTTGGATACTTTCAAAGGCGTCTTGTAACTTTCCCTTATTATATTACTCACACTTTGTAACTGTAATTGGAAACAAAATTGCTATTATAGATATGTTATAAGAACACACTAAGCAAATGTTATCACACAACATTATGACTGGCTTATCCCAGTGCGCTCGAATTCATCACAGTAGGAGGCAGATTGTTTAGTTACCAAGCTAATATACTGTGGAATCAGCTCCACATCAAAGAAGCAGAAACAGTCTCTACATTCAAGGCTAGGCTTTAAACACTCTTTAATTGAGCATATGGATAGGCCGCTAACACTCTAAGAACAATAAATACAACCACAGGACAAGTATAAAGACATAGATTGTCAGTCAAGCTGCACATAAAGTGACTACTGGGAGTATGGTAACTTGAGCACTATTCTCTCCTCTTCCTACTTTATCTGTCATCAACATGACTTCAGCTGTCGTCTGTTCATTGTTATTCACCCACGGTCCCATTGTCAGTTTCATAGTGTGATGATGGGACCCCTGAATCCGGCCTTTCATCTGCATCTGTGGACAATCTCCTTGTCTGGGGACCTCTTCAGTCCTGCACTGCACAACCTCAAGCCCAACGCACACCGAAACGCCTTGACGCGCGGCAAAAGAGCCGCCTCCTTTATTTTCTATGAGAGAACGCACACCAAGGTTGCAGTGACGCGCGGCGACGCTGGACCGGGCGCCACGATTCAGTTTTGTTGAATCCAGACGCGGCGCCGCGGCTGAAACTGTCCCTCCAAGCACCCGTAGTTTTCTTCTTCTGCGCTTCTTATCACGTAGCTGTGAGCGCGGTCTCAAATTTACACACTTGTCGGCGCTATTGCTCAAGTAAACCGGTCACAATGGACGAGGAAAGCTTGATAACCCAAGTACAGCGTTACCCAGAGCTAGTTATTAGCCTGTTTAAAAAATGGGTCCAAATAGTCTTTTCTTGTAATATTTGCCAGCATAATTTCACGTAAATACTTTGTTTCCTCCCCCAAAATATTAGTAGAAACTTCCAAACGTCACTCACCCATTTCATCTGCGATCAGCTGGAAAAGGACGCTAGCCAAGGCGTTCCGGTGTAATTTGACACATGTCATGAACGCGCGTCAAATGACGCGCCGCGAGGCGCTGCGTTTCGGTGTGCGGTGAGCTATAGTCCTCATTCTACAGCCTGAGTTCTGGATCTAGAGTCCGTCCGTCCGTGGGAGCGGATTCCTCTCTCAATGTCAGCGTCTCAGAGGCTTGTCTCTTTTTCCCCCTGTTTTATTTGAGTTGTTCCTTGCAGCTGCAAGTGGGTCTAAAGACAGTGGTGATGATCCAGGACCTTTAAGGACATTTATGGACATATGTTATCTGCTCCTTATAGACCAATGGCTCTATGTGTTTTTTTAGGATTGCATTTCCTGTGTTTGAACTGGTTGATTTTCTAATCTTTGTTGGCAACAACTTTATAAAGTTGTCCGAGATGACAACTGTTATGATTTAGGTCTATACAAAAATACATTGAAATTGAATTGAATCATGGCCCGCTGTCTCATTCCAATCAGATTGATCTGTATATATGTAAACTCAATCCCATTAATCAGCACGCACCAGCCCCTCAAAGTGCTTTCTAAACTCACTCATTATTTGTTAGTCCAATGTTATACAACTTGGAAAGCATAAAAGCGTTCAGAATCTATGAATATCTCTTGCAAGACTTGTTCCTTTTTTCCCATGGTCACATAAGCTACTGAAACTTCCACAGTCGCTTTTGTATCAACTTTTGAAAACGCTGGAAACGAGTCCTAAGTAGCTCTGAAACAGTTGTTGTTTTGTGCTTTACAATTGTTATTTTTCTTGCATATTTCTACCTGAAACGTTGCTGCAGAAAAGTGTTCTTGGTTTTGCACTGGTCCAGACTAGAGCGGAGAGATTTCATGGTCCGAAACAAGCGGATCAGCCAAAAATTCACTGGATTTTTGTCAGCTATTTATAGAATTCTGTATTTCTTTACTTTGTTTGTATGAATGCATGTGTTTCTGCTGCTGCTGGACACCTGAATTTCTCTTACGGGTGATCAATAAAGTATCTATCCATCTATCTATCTGTCTGTCTATCCATCTATCTTTCTAACTTTCATATCCAGCATTTTACCACCACAGACAAGTATATTAACCACACGCTAACGTTAACATTCAAATTAAAACTCCCAGTCCATGTGTCCCCTTTCCCCACTGGTCATTGAAGCCTGGTAGTGTGGCCTCGCCCCAATAGACCAGTGGCCCAGAGCAGAGTCACGAGTGGGGTGTGGTGCACTGTTTGGGCTGGTTGAGTCATCCCAACATGGGACAGCAGCATGAAACCAGGCCCAACTTCAAACAGGACATGGTGGCGGTCAGAGATCCTCCCTGCTGATTTATTAGAATGAAAACCACTCACTGGAGTTTATTAAAACAGAGCAGGCTCTAATTGAACCATGCACTAAGCTTGGCGGGAGATGTATACAGTTTTTTAAAATAACTATGCTACGGAATATATATTAAAATTAAAGCCGCAAGCGGCGTCAAACGGCCCTCGCCGCACCGCGCGCACCACCCTGCACCGCCCCGCACCGAGCCGCCCCGCATCAAGCCACTCCGCACCAAGCCGCCCCGCATCAAGCCACTCCGCACCAAGCCGCCCCGCATCAAGCCACTCCGCACCAAGCCGCCCCGCACCAAGCCGCCCCGCACCAAGCCGCCCCGCACCAAGCGGATCTGCACCACGCCGCCCCGCACCAAGCCACAACGCGCCGCTCCACAACCCCCCGCACTACCCCGTACCACACCGTACCACGCAGCACCGTGCAAAGGAGGTGGGGCCGCCGTGTGATGATTTGTTGCTGTTGCCATAGAAGAACGTTAGTCAAATTGTGATGAATATGATGATTAGAGCTGTTTGGCACCCCATGTAAAACTTTTCCTCAATCTGTAGGGGGCGCTAATGGGCCAATTTCAAATATTTCCCTTTCACCTGACCTAAATCCTGGAGTTGAACATTGGATTCAAGTTTTGTGCAAATCAGACTTTGTTTGTGCAAACGGGAGCAAAATTAATGTTGTGAAAAATAGTCAAAAAACACTCACATTTTGCTGCTCCGCTGCTCAAACAACGTTTCACTGATCAAAAATCCCTTTGGTCATTTTGACGGTACATGTGTTGAGATGATCTGGAGCGATTTTGAGGAAAATCG